TGGTGGTGCTGTGTTCTTTTGCTTTTTCTTTTTTTTTTTTTTTTGTTTTTTCCAATACAAAATGTTTGTAGTTTGAAAAGAAAATTAGAGTGGTGGATTCTGACATGATTTAATTCTCACCTTTTCTGGTAAGATTCATCTGATAAGAATCACCCTTGTTAAGGTGCAGGTAATCTGGCTAGAACTCTGTTCTTAAACCAGATTAGGACCCTAACACTACTTTAACCTGGCAGGCATTGGAGTGGTGTATCTTGGTGAGCACTGTTCTGGTGACAGTCTGGCCCTTCATCTTATTTCTTATGGTTTGTTTGTTAGCTTGTGAGGACCTATGCACACACGCATGGTAACACACACATGCACATGTGCACATACTGTCTTGTATTTCTTATTGAGTACTTCCATTATCCTTGTTGTTTCCCTCAGAAACATACATTAAAAACTTTCTGCATGTCAAAAGAAATCTCCAGCATAGTGAAAAGAAAACCCACAAACTGGGAAAAAATCTTAGTGAACTGCCACTCAGACAAAGGACTTCTGTCTAAAACATATAAAGACTTTAAAAAAAATCAGACCCCCAAAATTCAAAGACCCAATCCAAAAATTGGCATCTGAGATGAATACACAGTTCTCAGATGTAGAAATTCAAATGGCAAATAAATACATGAAAAAATGTTCACCATCATTACTCATTATAAAAATGCAAATTAAAACCACACTTGAGATTCCATCTCATTCCTGAAAGAATGGCCAGTATATAGAAAAACACCAACAACAAATGTTGGTGAGGCTATGGGAAAAAGGAACTCTCCTGCAGTGTTGGTGCGAGTGTAGCCTGGTGCAACCATTGTGGAGGTCTGTTTGGAGATTTCTCAAAAAGCTGGGATTGGAAGTCCCATTTATTCCAGCTATTCCACTTCTAGGCATATTCCCAGAAGAACTGAAAATAGCATACCACAGTGATATATGTGCACCCATGTTTATAGCAGCACAATTGGTAATATCCAGATCTTGGAAACAACCTAAGTGTCCATCAACAGAGGAATGGATAAAACAGTTGTGGTATTTTTATACAATGGAGTACTACTCGGCTATAAAGAATGATCACATTGAAATATTTATAAATAAATGGGCGCAGCTTGAGACCATACTCACAAGTGAAATAAATCAAACTCATATGTATGAATATCGAATAGTTTCCCTAGTGGAAGAAATGATAAGAACACATAAAAGTATTTTGTAATCATGATTCCCCATTATATTGCTTTGAAGCCTTACAATGTTTTCACTCGTTAATTGGAATGGTTTTATTCTGGTTTGTTTGATTTTATTGTCTGTGATGGTATGAAAAACTATTTTGGGGAAAACAAGACATCATAATAGCTAGTGCTGACTTAATATCATGTTTTGAAGTCCCATCAAGCTGTTGTTTTTCTGTCTCCATTGGCTTTATCATGTTGCATCTTACTGGATTTTATTATATGTGATAGTGTAAACAAAGTTTTTTTTTATAGGCAAAGAGATAATACAGAACCCATTGTTCATTTTCTGTTAGTTGGTTCTAAATACCCTGTAATACTTTCATTCTCTTGAATGGTTTCACACTGTCTTGATATGTTTGATGCTACAATATACAAAGTTATACTCAAATATTTCAAGGAAAGAGACACTATGGTAACTACTATTACTTCATGTTATCTTGTGGTGAAACACCATGTTGCTAAAATTATTCTGTTCTGACCTGTATTGTTATGTTGGTATACCCTCTTTTATCTCAATCTCCTTTTTAAAAATTTTTTTAATTATTTTTTTAATTAAGGGAAAAAATAAAAAAATAGCAGGATATATTTCAGTAACCATTTTGATTTCCTGTTAACTTGATTTGAAGCCCTGTATTGCTCTCACCATCTTGTTCTGACTGATTTTACTTTATTCTGTTTTGTTTGACAGTATCAAGTTTGAGGGTATAGGCAACTACTTTGAAGGCAATAAGATTCACTATGATTCCCCTTCTGGTTTGACTATTATCTTCTTTTGAAGTTCTTTAATGTCTCCAATGTTTTGGTTTTATTGGTTTTGTTCTGTACTGTTCTGTTCAATTTTATTATACCTAATGATATAGGCAATTCTTTTTAAGGTAGCAAAAGGCATTATGGTAACCATTGTTGATCACCTTGTATTCTGTTTTTACATCATGTACTATGTCCATCCTTTGTTTTGACTGACTCTGTTTTGTTTGGCCACATTTGGTTTTCTTCTCTTCAAAAAAAAAATTAATAAGAACTGTGGGAGTAATAAAACCCCAAATGTCTAATTGTTATTGTAAAAAAGAGAGGAAAAGAAAGTGCTCTAAAGCATACAATTGCATGTATGTTTATGTGTGTAAGATAGATAACCACATTACTAAGTTTTTGTTGGATCATTGAACAGAACTGTTTGTAGTCTCACTGTTTGACTGTCCACTTTGTATGTTTTATTTTGTAACTCAAACAACTATTTCTAAGATGACAATATGTAACCTATTAACTAGTGATTTCTTATTGTTTACTTTTTTGAAATTCTGTATTACTTGTATCCTTTTTCTGTTTTTTTTTTTCTCTTTAAATAAAATTGAAAAAGTCACTATGGTTGATTCATTAGATAACATTATCTTGAATAATTTAAAAATGAGATAGTGGCTTCAAGGATTACATTTTATGATTTGGAAAAGTTTTATAAAATAGGGGAATTAGAGTAGTTCATACTCAGCTGTTGAAAATATAGTACAAGAATATGGGCAAGGCCTTATGTACAATTACAATTTAGTGTGATACTTTTGGTTTGTCAGACCTACAATAGCAGATTTTCTGCTAACTCATCTCAGAAAGGTGATTTACATTGAAACAGAGCCTTTAAAATGAAAATAAATACCTTCTTTATGTCTGGACAGGCTGTGTGGTCCCAGCAAGCCTGAGAGCAAGGGTGGGCCACAGGCCTCCTTGCTGCTCTGACTGCCTGGGAATGGCCCGCAGAGAGGCCGAGGCAGCCTCCAATGCCCAAGACTTGGAAGCTATTGCTTTTCAATGTTTTTTAATTTTTCCCCTTTCCATTTTTTATTCAACTAATCTTTGTGCTGCAGTCTTTCAATGCAAGAAAAGTGCCTCCGTATTCGTACTCTAAAGTGTTAAAGATCAGAATAAAAGAACAGACTTGTTCCAGCTCATGGTATTGTGCAGATGTCATTCTGAAGGAAGTTTTATGTTTTATCCTCTTGGTCAAAGAACTCGACTCTTCAATGGCTTTATTCATTCCCTCTGGGGTTGCTCATTGTTTACACTCTTCACTAATGGTAGGGCTCTTAGGATAACATGCTGTTGCTTGTTTGAGGTTTCGCAGGCTCAGAAAGCCTGGTTTTTATTTCTCCAAAACATGTGAACTTGAAAACAGAATAATTTTTTTTTTTAATGAAAGAACTTTACCTATTTATTTTTATCTAGACTGTTGACAGACGTGTTTAGTAACTTTTATGTTGTCAGGTTTTTCATGATTCAATGTGAATTAAAAATACTACTTTTCGAGGTATTTCATCTATCTCTATTGTTTTCATTAGATTTATTGTTCCTGTTGGATCACTTTTGATGTTGGTACTGTATGAAAGTCATTAAAAGATTTCTGGAATATAAACATGTAGGAAGTGGTGGCGGCCTTTCCAGGTTTTGAGCGTTTCAAAGTATTAGATTACGTGGGTATGTGTTTTGGAAGTCTACCTACTCACCAGATGAAACTAAGAATAAAAACTGCTCTTTAACTTTCTACTGATTAGCAGTACATTTTCCAGGGCTCTGTCTTGTAAACGGCCTTCTAAGTAGTATTTGGATTGATTCGCCCTTTCTACCTCCCGTCTTCCTGCTCTTTCTTTGGCTCCCTGCCTGGTTATGTTCACCGAGGCAGAGCTGGTGGGGACTTTGGAGAGCTGTCACTTACCCATGTTGACAGACATGTCTCACGCAGTGAGTTCAGGGGTTATGCGCTGCTCTTTGTGAGAATTCCATGGCTTTTGCACTCATTCTGGAGTAGTTTCTGGCCTTGGGTGATGATGGCTCTACCTCCCAGGCTTGGCCACTTTCTGTGCAAGGAGTATTTGAGGTGTGGCTCCTGACTTGTGAGATAGGGTTTGCTTCAGGGTATCCCCCATTCACAATGTCATGTGAGTTTCACAAATCAGAAAGAGATCAAACCTTACTGTGTGTGTGCACGCGCCCAGGTGTACACAAGTGATTGAGTGTGCATGTGCACACGCATACATAGGAAACAGGCTAATGTTTACTCCATTCATCCAACCAGTCTACTTACCAGCTTATCAGATACTTCTTGAGGGTCTGCTGTGTGTATGCATCTCAGCAGGAGGGTCACTGACTAGTTGAGAGAAACAAGGTGTGCATGTACATAAAACCGTGACTGCATAGGTAAAGGAAGTATGAGGTTACTCCTAAGTGCCACATTAGTGATTTAGGCTGGGAGCATAGGGAATTTGGGAAACAGAATCGGAGAGGGGAATCTGGGAGACACCACTCTGCCAGGAGACGCAGTTTTCTCTTCTGGGAAGAGGGAATCTGTGGGTAAGAGACAGCGCTGAAGACAGGAGTGGGCACCCAAGGGCTGCACAGGGCTGCTGGTGTGGGGAGAAGTGCCAAGAGTGCTGCCAGGTCAGCTGGGTGCCACTGGAGGCCTGGGACGACACTAGCCCGGTGGAGCAGGTACCTCCTGCCTGGTCTGGGGATGAGATATTTGTAGACTTTGTTGAAAGTTACATATTTCCACATTTTTATACTTTCCTGACTGCATTTGTTTCCAGCACACAAGTTTCTGAGAGAAGTCAGTGATGTTAAATCGTTGATGAAAATTTGTGCTTTAACACAAACTTGATGTTAATGTTTGTGAAAGTTTCATAGATATACACATGTAATGATAAGGCTGGTTGGTGCCTGAAGAAAACTACATTAACTCTGTGAATTTTTTCCTAGGCCGGACCTGATAGACATGAATACTGTTGCTGTTCAAAGCAACCTTGCAAATTTAGAGCACGCTTTTTATGTAGCAGAAAAAATTGGTGTTATAAGACTTCTGGACCCCGAAGGTGAGTTTTTTTAACTAGTCATGGACTGGAGGAAAGCCTGACTAAAACTTATCATGAAATTATTTATGTTGCTGGTTTCAGATGTCGATGTCTCTTCACCTGATGAAAAATCAGTTATAACTTATGTGTCATCTCTCTATGATGCATTTCCCAAAGTCCCTGAGGGTGGCGAAGGCATTGGCGCAAATGTGAGTATCGGCTTTTTCTCTGCTAGAAGCTGCTGCTACAGTTGACTAAATTCCTTGACAGTTCTTATTTTTGTTGTCTGTCTGTGTCGTATTGAGGATTGAATCCAGGATCTTGTGCATATGAGGCCAACAGTCTGTGACTGAGCTATATCCCCAGCTCTTTTGTTTTTTAGATACCTGTTTACTAAGTTGCCCAGGCTGAGTTTAAACTTGTGTTCCTCCTGCCTCAGCCTTCTGAGGAGCTGGGACTACAGGTGTGTGCCACTACACTTCCTTTACAATTTTTAAATGTCAAATATATTTCAAATATTTTGACAGCATTCTGGGAAGCAGATGTTGGAAGATCAAAAGTTTGAGCCTAAGCTGGATGACTTAGACCCTGTCTTAAAATAAAAAAAATAATACAGTTCTTGGCTTCCTCCTGGATGTTAGTTCTCAGTTTGTAGTGCCAGTGTGGCCCAGCAAAGAGCTCTGGCTTTCGGCTCAAATAAACCTGGCTTTTGATCCTGACTACTACCTACCAGATTGGTCTTCTTGGTCAAGTTGTATAACCTCCTGTAGAGATTTTTCACCTGTAAACTTAGGAAAGTAGCATAACCCTGTCACCAGCACCACACATAACAAGAATTTGATTACATTTGCTATTTAATAAACAGATACTATATAAACATTTCATGGTAGTATCTTTCTTTCACTGGGAAGTGGGGTTCGCATAACTTGAGGAGTCATCCCTCCTCTGTCCTTCATGCTATTTTTGAAAGAATTCAGTCAAGACACAGGCAGCCATGAAGAAGTCTAGGTAAAATTTATTCTAACACAGATATGGAGAGATTTTCACCTTAGAGAAGGTGGGCCACACCATCCCCTAAAAGAACCTAAGAGCCCATGCAGTAAATGGACAGGGGAATGTTTTTCCAATTTAAATGAGAGCATGGAGGAAGGTAATTGGATCTGGCCATATTCACAGAACTAGGTCTTACACATACAGGTTTGGGTATTAGGCATGTATCAGATCACTGCTTCTCAGAAGTTGGTATGATTTCATTCAGTTATGCATTTTGCAGTGGGATTTCTGCCAAGTGTTTGTGTGTTTCTGGGAAACAGCAGGACTGCCTGTGTCACATGTGCTGGGGAACCCCCTCATCTTGGCCGCTTCCCCGTCCTCCTCTCAGATGCCTTCTGTGTCTGCATTGCTTTGAACATTTGCAAGCGCCTTTCTGGTCTCTTCCTCATCTCTGTGTATTGTTTCTAGACTTTCTTTCCTTCTCTTTCTCCTTTCCTGTCACAAAGATCCTGTGCCTATGGACCACAGGTAGCTTGTGGTGTGGAGATGACAACTGTGGGTTTCTAGCTCCTTGTACCCTGGCTCCCATCAAATATGCATTTTATTGCCAAATTAATCTTCCTAAAACTTATGTCTTTAGCTTAAAAATTTACAGTGGTGATATATTACTTGCAGCTTAAATCCAATCTGGATGTCCTGACATTCAAAACTCTCAATATATTAATTGTTTTTACTTACATTTTTTTCAGTGTTCTTACATTTACTAATAGCAGAACGTTTCCATGTCAAGGCCCTGTCTCTGACCTACTTGCTCCATGCCCTCATCACGTCACTGTCACTGCTACAGAATCACTGGTCCCATTGTAGAGATTTCTTTAAGAAACCCCTAGTGGCTGTTTCAAGGCACTTACACACTTGCCTCATTATTATCTCAGTCTTCGACGTACACAGTACTACCAGTGTCAGTTCTCTGAACAGGGAAACAGTGCTTTTCATTTTGCTTAGCTACTTACACTGTAAGCCTCTCCTGTCTCCCCATCTGGACAGCAACTCCTTGATAACAGCTAGCAGGTCTTACAGTTTTACTTTTTTATTATAACACTGAGCACATAATAAGCATTCATAATAAACATTAATTAGATGCTTAATTGAATATAGCAGTTGGCAGTCTCCCAGTTTCTTTCCTTTTAATAAAGTTTGCTTAATGAATAATCCCACCACATCCCACTTCATTCCTGTCTGGGTTCCTCCGTGTTTAACTCTCCCTGAGTATCAGCTGTTCAGTGGACTTGGATCTGATATGGTTGGCACAGATGACTGGCCTGGCTTCTGCAAACTGCTAAACTCCCTCTTCTGAGCCCTAAAAAGTACCTCAGCTTGATCTTGTTACTATTGACTTGAAGACAGACTCAGAAGCCTTCTCAGTGCTATGCCCTGGGCGGCCATTGTCTTTGGATCGGAATGTTAGTGGCCAAATGTCCATAGCATGTTTTTAAAGCTGTTTATGTGGAAAGGATTATGGCAGAGTGGGAAGTAAGAAATCATTTAGCTGGTTCCATCTGTCAAGCTTCAACATGTGAAAAATTTGCACAGTGACTTCTGACCAAGTTGTGTTAGATGTGAATAGTATTATTATAGACACAGACTTTGTCATTTTATTACTTTAGGATGTTGAAGTCAAGTGGATTGAATACCAGAATATGGTGAACTACCTCATCCAGTGGATTAGACATCATGTGACTACAATGTCTGAGAGAACATTTCCTACTAATCCTATAGAAATAAAGGTCAGTGTCATATGGAAGTTAACCTGATTGCTTTGATAGTAAACATAACTAAATCTATGATAATACCATAATTTTAGACATTCAAGAAAAGTTGCTGTTGGCAAGCCATAAGTAAGTAGGCAAATTTTAATTTGCTGACTTCGCTATTATACAGAGAAAATATAAATAAATATTAATAATTAAAACATAATAGCAGTAGCATCTTAAAGCTACATTTGTTGAGCGTTGAAAAGCCCTGAGGCTGGCATCGCCACATTGTGTTTGATGGTGGGGGACCCTGGGAGCCCACGGCTGGCGACACAGAGGCCAGAGGGAGATGCACACAGGCCATGCAGTGGGGAGCGTGCCTTGCTGGAGTCCCCGAGGCTCTGTGGAGCCAGAGATGTATGATGAATTTAGCACAGAAGTTGAGAATTGGCCCTTATGAGGCCAGTGTTATTTGGGCAGATGGGTTTGCCGAGCATTCACTAATACCAGAAAACTTAGGTCAGACTCTTCGAGGCAAAGATGTAGCAATATGAAAGGCATAGCTATACAAACACAGCAGAGTAAGTTTCTCATTTTGTGTGTATGGGTTTGAAATAGCAAAATACTCTAGTTTTCTAAATTTTTAATTAAATATTGACTACAAAGCCTAATTCCTCTATTTGTAAACTTTGTTTCCACATTCAGACTGGAATCATGAAAATCAGATTAACCCAGGGCAGTCCCTGTAAATTTACTCATCTGCTCATGCATCTGTACACAACATATGGAGCACAGCTTTTATTTATATTGCCACAGGGAGTTTGTCCTTGTCATGAAGTTACTTGGCATCTGTTAATAAGATGCATTTTTAAAATGTCCTCGCATTGTTTGTATGATGTCTACCTATGTGACTACAAACTTCTCCAGGAAGAGAAAGCTTTTTTCTTGTATCACTGTGGTGCCACAAACATTGGATACCACATAGTGTCACTGAGTGCTTAATGCCCAACAAGTGTCCCAAGAGATGACATTTTCTATTCAAAACTTTTTTTACTTTCAAATACACTTATTTCCAGGTACATTCCTATTGTCTAGACCTTTGAATGAATTTGCACTGGCCTCTGATAAATGCAGGTTCTTAAATTTGTCAAAGGAGTTTAATGACTGTGCAGATTATTTACTAGTGCCCAGAATGGAGTAGGACATAGTGCAGGAAAGAAAATACCATGAAGAAATGCTCAATAATTGTTCTAACCAGAGAGCCATTGAATAAATCTGCAGAACTATGCCCACCTGAAGACTTATAGGAACTTATTTTAATGTAGTTTGAATTAAGAGAGCTAGCATGTTTCATTTTAAATGAAACATTTTGTCTATAATTTCTATGATTTTAACAAGCACAATAAATTATAAGAGCTTTGTAAGTTAATATGTACATTATCTAATTAATAGCAACCAGATAGTTTAACTGTATGGTTGAGATTTCTCCATGATTAAGCCCATCAACTAATAGTGTCTACCTTCATTTATTTAAGAAAAGCTGTTTACATTGGCCAGTCAAAATCAACTTTAACCCTTTTTAGCGAAGAATTGTGTTTTCAAGGATAGAACATGAAATAAAAATTTTTTCTTTCTTTGTGGGAGTTGCATCAAATTATTGTTCCAGAAACTGAAAGCTAAGTTGCAGCGTTTGAAAAATGCATCTTTTGAAGGATATGTTGTCTTGTTTTGGTGCTAAAAGACGTTTATAAAACCTTAGAAGGCCTGTCCTGGTCATTATTACTCAGATTCCCCAAGTGCACATGTTGAAACATGGCTCTCATCAGTAATTACATCCTCGTCAACTCTTACATAATCCAGGTCACCAGTTGACTGGGCATTGCTGTCATCCTTGAGTGTTAATTTTATAAAGGAATTTTCACTGAATCCATGCTGCACAGTAAATAGTATTTGTGGTGATGAAAATTGAGATATTAAAAGCAAGTCTTTGAAGTTTGACCCTTAATTTTTTTCTCTTTCATTTAGGCACTTTATAATCAGTATTTACAGTTTAAAGAAACAGAAATTCCACCAAAAGAGACAGAGAAATCAAAAATTAAACGTCTCTATAAATTATTAGAGGTAAGTGGAAATTTCCCTTGTATTATCAAGCATTATCTTTATTTTTTTAAATCTGTGCTTCACATTCACAATTTTTGTTTTCTCAAGAATTGGATAGAATTTGGGCGCATCAAACTGCTCCAAGGTTACCATCCAAATGACATCGAGAAGGAGTGGGGGAAGCTCATCGTCGCCATGCTGGAGCGGGACAAGGCGCTTCGTCCTGAAGTGGAGAGGTAGGTGGAGTTCAGAAACCCTGGGACCTGGTTGGCAGGAGCCTCTTTTTCTCTGGGAAGGAAAGAACTTGAGCTTTAGAGCCAGGCCAGTGGAGAACCAGTTTTCATCGTGTTCATTTATTTGGTCTGTGACATTGGATAAGTAACACCCTCTTTCTGACTCTTCATTTTCTCACGTAGAAACTGTTCTGAGAAGTTGAAAGGAGGAGAGCAATGAAGTAATTATTATAGTGGGCTTTGTGGGACTGCTGTGTAAAAAGTCTCATCTGATAAGTATTCACAGTTTCTGGGGTTTTTGTCTTTCGTATTGGCGGGAACCCTCTCCCACTGACGTACACCTGTAGCCCCTCACATCTTTTCTCTTTTTATTCTTTTGACATGGGTTCTTGCTACGTTGCCTAGGTGGGAATTGGATTTGGTGGTCTTCCTGCCTCAGTCTCTTTTAGTACTGGAGTTACCTTACCTGGCTAGTGTGGCTTAAAACCAATCAGAGTTACCCATAAGAATTTTCAGACTGCTCTGTAACTCACTGGATGTGGAAGCCTGTCTGTTAACTTTTTTTGTTTCTTATTACACTTTTGGCCATGAGCTTCTTTTTCCCTGCATCAGTGGAAACCACATTCTAGCCTGCCACCACTTAAAAGTAACAGGATTGTGTGAAAGAAACTTTTAGTCACTATCAGCTCAGCTTCTCTGTCTTCCCCATGTCTGCAAATGCATTTATTTCATGAAATCATCACTGGCTCCTCATTCTTCCATCCTCTCACTGTGCTGTACTGTTTCCCAGGAAAGGTGCGCCTTCATCTTTGGGAAGCCTAGTGATGCTGGCGATGGTGATGATGGTGGTGATGGTGGCAGATGATGATGAAGGCAGTGATGAGAGTGATTGTGGTGGTAATGGTGGAGATGACAGTGATGGTAATGATGATTGTGATGTTGGTCATTGTGGGATGATGTGGTGGTGATAATAGTGATTGTGTTGGTAGTGATGGTGATGATAACGGTGGTGATGATGGTGATTGTGGGCTGGTGGTGATGAAGGCGGTGACTGTGGAGGTAGTGATGGCGTGATGATGAAGGTGGTGGTGATGGTGAAGGTTGTGATAAAGGTGGTAGAGACGATGGTGATGGCGATGGTTTCATGGTGTTGGGGGTCAAACCCCAGTACCTGTTACTTCCTATAAGTGCTTTGCCACCAAGTTGTATTGCCACCTTGCTGGGTAGATGGGTTTCTGTCCAGCCCTCAAGCCTGAGGGCCGGGCACTGTGATTTGCACTCCTCTGGCCATGCAGCCCAGGCCTGTGTGTTTGGCATCTCTTAGCCTCCAGGATCTCACAAGCAAGTGTGTGCGCTGGAGTTCAGCCTCCTGTGTCCCCTGGCACATGCAGCTCTCGTTCAGTGGAGCTGTCCTTTTCACCCTCACTGTTTCTTAGTCCTGATCACACTCAGAGCCCAGTTCTTCCTCAAGGAGCTCAATGTGGCTTCCTGGGCTGGCTCACTTGTCTTGATTGTCACTCTCATAGTTTGCTTGTTTTGTTCCTTTAGAACAGCTTGTCTTGGTTGGAATTTTGTGTTTATTTCTGTTTGAGTAAGGGCTGCTTGTTCCTCACTATAAGCCCCGAGAGTGTAGAGGCCTGTTTTGTTCTTCCTTGCCCTCTGGCGCTGATGCTTTGCACTGTGCCTGGCCCTGGTAGAGACTCTTGGAACATCTCTGTAGTTGATATCTCACACACTGACTTCAGTGCTGCTAGAATATAAAATGGCATGGTGAAAATGTGAGGACTTGTCAGTCTTTTATCAAATTACTGATGCCATGCTTGTTAAAGCATGTTGCATTTCCATAACTGGATCACTGGAATTGATGAAAGCCTGAAACTCCCAGGATTAGGCTTTATGGAGCCAATAATTATGGGTGATAAAAATGAGATACTAAGCTAATCATGTGAAGTAAAGGAAAAGAACACTAGACAAAGAAGATGGAGAATAAAGTTTTAGGAGTCATGGTAGTAGATGAATTTAATATATATGCCTTAATCCACTTTGTGTTGCTGTAGCATAATACAATACTGCATGCTGAGATTGGCCGGGCTAGAATGGTGTGTGCCCACAATGCCAGAACTTTGGGAGGGCAAGGCAACAGGATCACATGTGTGAGTCCCATCTAAGCAGCCAAGTAACATTCTGCTTCAAAATAAAAAGGGCTGAGAATATGTAGCTCAGTGCCTGGATTCAATTCCCCACTTAAAAAAAGCCAGGCGAGGTGGCCTATACCTGTAATTCCAGTACCCTTGAAGACTGAGGCAGGTAGCTGCAAGTTTGAGCCCAGCCTGGGCAATTCAGTGACTGAATGGGACCCTGTCTCAAAATAAAAATAAAAATAGAAATAAAAATGTCTGGAGATACAGCTCTGTGTGAAGGTTCTAGGTTCAATCTCCAACACCTTCTCTGCCCCCCAAAGAAATGATTTCTCACAGTGCAGGAGGATGGAAAGCTCAGTATGGTGCTAGTGAGGGCCATGGTGCCACATCATCTGCTGGTGGAGGTGGGAAGACAGAGAAGATAAGGAGAGGCACACAGAGATGCAGGAGACACAGGGTGCACATATGTGCATTTCTGGGAGAGCAGGCAGCCTTTCCATCAGAGGGACCAGACCTGCAGGCGTGGCAACGTTAGCCTGTCCATAAGAGCAGAACCGTGATGGTCACACCACTACCTTGGGGCTGAAGTCACCAACACATGCTCTTCGGAGACATTCAAGGCACAGCACAATGTCCAGGACTCAGGAGCCTGCCAGAGAATCCTGGATTGCATTTATTTCCTCAGCCTGCGAGTTGTATTATCTTAATACTTTATAAGTTTTTTGATGTCTAACCCACAGTTTCCTCATTTGTAAACAGAATGTAATAGTACCTAACACATTTGGTGGTAAACTGTTTGAGATGCAGTAATTGCGTGTAAAATGATTAGTTCATTTCCTGGCACATAATAATTGCTTAGGAAATGTTATTATGTTTGTTACTGTGTTTTCTTAATAGTTACACTTGGCACTCTCAAACTTTTCTTATCTTTTGAAAAGAAAAATATCTTACTCTCAGAGTAGAGAAATGACAAGTTATATAGTGGTGCAGGTAGGAAAATACTGCAGAGTGTGGTTAGATAAATTCCTTTACTTTTCTTGACATGACAGGTTTGTTGGCACTGATTGTGCATCACAAGTAATAGCTACACATCATGACGTGTGTAAAGACAGATAGGAAAGAGTCATTCTCTTATGCCGTGTAATAACTTGCCAAAAGGTGAAAGAAGCACAAATTAACTTTGCAACTATTTGCATTTAGCCCTTTGGTTTTCGGAAATGTGAACTAACTATAGAAGCTTAGAAAACACTATAGAAAGTCATGTCACAGAAAGGATGGTAAAAGGAGACTGGATGTGGTGGCACATATGCCTGTGAATCTCAGCATTTTGGGATGCTGAGGCAGGAGGATTGCAAGCTTGAGCCCAGCCTTGGCACCTTGGTTAGTCAGCAAGACCCTAGGAGTAGATCAGTGCTGGACTAGAAAAATTTGGAAAGAGCTGGGGTTGTAGCTCAGTGTGAATGCCCTGGGTTCCATCCCTAGTGCAGCTCATCTCACAGAGGTAAATGGTTAAATTGTTAAGTTTCCAGTTAATTTAATCTTATGAACAAGCAGCATAAATGGAAATGTAGTTCACTTCTCTTGTTGGTTGGGTGGTTGATGGTTTACACCACTGTGCCTTGAGTTACTCAGTTCAGACCCGGCCTTTGCAAAAGTCAGGCAATGAGCGAATGTTTGTGTTGTCGCATGGATGCTCACTGTTGTCAGAAGAACCTTCAGTGGTTCCTAGGCTTCAGGATCTGGGTTGTTTTTAAGGTGTGTGCAGTTGGATGACTCTTGGTGAAAATATTTGACATCTCTTTTCCAGCGACGCCCAAGTCTGCCTGCTTTGTCTGTACTTGCAGGGTTTTAATGCAGGCTACGGAAGGCAAACCTCAGCAAGCATACGAATGGCTTTAGGTGAAATTCTTTGGAACAGTTATCAGTGTATCATTTGCTGTGTTTTACATATGCATGTTGAAACCTATTTAAGGAGCCACTAAAGTTGTAATATTTAGCTCTAACTCTTCACTGTTAGAGGTAGAGCTTTTCCCAGACCTTCTACTTCTTAGTCAATTCTTAATGGTCAAAGAACATCATTTCAGGACTAAGAATGCATAGTAGTAGTTATAGTTATCGTAGCAGTGATTCTGTGTTTAGTAACACTACCAGCACTCGAACCAGTCTTGATTCAAATGAGAATTTTCTCTCGGTTCATTGTGGTCCAACATTGATCAGCTCCTGCATTAGCTTTGGCAATGACTCCTTTGAAGGACACAGGTATTGGATCAGTGGTGTGGGCTTCAGGGTGACAGTGGTTTTCAGGGATGGTGCACCCTTTGATTTTCTCTTCTTTCCCTCCTCTTTTTAGGTTGGAAATGCTACAGCAGATTGCCAGCCGCGTCCAGAGGGACACTGTAGTCTGTGAAGACAAACTGATGCTCGCCCGAAGTGCACTTCAGTCTGTAAGTTCAGTGTAGAAGCCCTGGGTGGCTGCAGCCCAGTGTGTGTTTTGATGAACCAAAACTTTTAATAACATTTTGTTGGTTCTTGGTATGTTTCCTCTACTGAAGAAACTTAGTTTATTAGTGATGGATTGATGTGTGCTCTCTGGAGAGCCCCCGTGAGCAAAGGGAAAACATTTTTGACAAAAAAGTAAAACAAAGCCTAAGTAGGATTTTGTCCTAATAATTGGAGTTTTGAATTTAAGCCTAATTCTGACACTTATTTCATAGGTATAATACTGAGTTCTTTTCAATACAGGATTCCAAAAGATTAGAATCGGGGGTGCAGTTTCAGAATGAAGCAGAAATTGCTGAGTACATACTTGAATGTGAGAACCTTTTACGCCAGCATGTCATTGATGTACAAATTCTTATTGATGGGAAATACTATCAGGCAGATCAGCTGGTTCAGAGGTAAGAGTGCTGCCTAGGCTCACCCTGTCTTGTGTATTTAATGGGTACTTGTAATCAGAATGTGTAACATTTGTATGAAATACATTTCTCAGTTGTTTTTAGATGAAATGTGTGGTCATTTCTTCAAAAATTAGTAGCAGAAAAAACACTTAATGCTGCATAAAATAATCACTGCAGTAGTTACTAAAGTATTCATTACAATGAGGCTTTTCATCGTATGTACTTTTTTAGGTGTGTGAGGCTGAGGGAGCAGCTGCAAAGCGTGTGCTCAGTGTGCACGGGGCCCTGGGTTCCGTCCCCAGCACCACATGGTGAAACGAATAGCTAAGTAGATATCCTAAGTGGCATTTGGAAAAGAGAGAATATAAGAAAAATTTTCACTCATCTGTTTATCTTGTTACAAAAGTGCTCATAATAAAATGTTGGGGAAATGTTTATAAGCATAGGCATTTCCAAGAAGTTGTTCTGAGATCACAGCCTGCAAGTTTCTATTTATATCTGTAGATCTATATAAATAAATATGTATATAGATAAACAAAATTTGTAAACCATGTATGACTCTGTAATTTCACTGTAGGAGTTATTAGTAAATGTAAGTATGGATGCTAAAATGTATAAACAGTAAAAGCTTTATGTTTATGCTAGAAATACTTTATAACAGAAGTTTAAAATTATACTAAATGTCAAATAATAAGAGAATGATCACATTGAAGTACTTTTAAATGATAAAGACTAATGTGGAAAGTGCCCATGATACAACAATCCGTGAAAAAAATCACCATGCAGAATTTTACCAATATAAGTACAATGACTTTTTTAAAAATAGGCTTTTTTGAGCAGTTTGAGATTACAGAAAAATAGAATTAAAAGTAGAGCTCTTATGTTCTTTTCTCTCTCATGCTTTCCATGTGATAAATGCCACACTAGTGGTACATTTGTTAGAATTGATAAACCATTATTGGTACATTGTTATCGGAGAAAGTCCACAGCTGACATAATGATTCACTGTTTGTGACAAGTGCCTTTTATTCTTTGCCTTACCTCTTTTGATTTTCTTTTTAGGGTTGCAAAACTGCGTGATGACATTATGGCCTTAAGGAATGAGTGTTCCTCTGTGTATAGCAAAGGTCGCATGCTGACAGCAGAGCAGACGAAGCTCATGATATCAGGAATTTCTCAAAGTTTGAACTCAGGGTTTGCACAGACCTTAACCCCCACTCTGAACTCAGGACTGACCGCAAGTGTAACGCATTCCCTGACCTCTTCTGGTGTGACCTCTGGCCTGTCATCTGGATTGACTTCCCATCTGACTCCATCTGTCACTCCGGCTTATACACCTGGCTTCCCATCAGGATTCATTCCAAACTTCAGTCCAGGGGGAGACCCAAGTTCTCTGCAGTCTCTGAAACTGATGCAGATCCGGAAACCCCTTCTAAAGTCGTCTTTGCTGGATCAGAATTTGACAGAAGAGGAAGTCAACATGAAATTTGTTCAGGATCTTTTGAATTGGGTTGATGAGATGCAGGTAAAAAAATGTTTTTACTGGAGCATTTCAGTCTTCATTGCTGTCAGTTTCTTTCTTCTTTTTTTAACTTAGTATTTTTCTATTAAAGGTGCAGCTTGATCATACTGAATGGGGCTCAGATTTACCAAGTGTTGAAAGCCATTTAGAAAATCATAAAAATGTTCACAGAGCTATAGAAGAATTTGAATCTAGCCTTAAAGAAGCTAAAATCAGTGAGGTATGTAAATGTACAAATTTTATCCATTTCATTGTTTTCTGTTTACATGAATTCCTTGTATTGTACCTTAATAACATATGTCCAGAGAGTAACAATTAAGATCCTTAAACTTGATGTCTTTTTATCCTGTATTATAGATTCAAATGACAGCACCTCTTAAGCTAACTTATACAGAAAAGTTGCACAGATTGGAGAGCCAATATGCAAAACTTCTGGTAAGTTTTTGCTTGTAAGCCTATTGTTTTCTTTTTCTTTTTGTGCAAAGATATGATTCTTATAACAATTTGCTTTATAAAGAGCACATCTAGGAATCAGGAACGGCACCTTGACACACTCCACAATTTTGTAAGTCGTGCAACTAATGAACTTATTTGGTTGAATGAAAAAGAAGAGGAGGAAGTAGCTTATGACTGGAGTGAGAGAAATACACATATAGCCCGGAAAAAAGATTACCATGCTGTAAGTGCAAGCTTTATACTTGCATGCTGAAGTTGTATTTTAGGGTTAGATGTTTTTTCCTGACATACTCCTTAATTCTTTCTTAAATTAGGAATTAATGCGAGAACTTGAACAAAAAGAAGAAAATATCAAATCAGTTCAAGAGATAGCAGAGCAGCTTCTTCTAGAAAATCACCCTGCCCGTTTAACTATTGAGGTGAGTTAGAATGTTTAACAGTCTGGATTAAATATTGATATGTGATTATTACTCTTCTTTAATTGCTGATAAGTTGAAAAGTGAAAACTGCCACAATTTTTATTACAGTATGACTGAAAAATAATGTTTCTGACAATGTGCTGATTGTGCCTTTTGTTTTCTTGCTCTCTAAATGTGTCACCTAGCTCTGTCCTCTTTTGTGGCCGGTGAAGTGAATTCTTGTAAATGTGAAGGACTTGTCTTTAAGCTTTTAAATTTTATTTTAAAATTGCAGTGGATAATGATCTAATGAAGTTTCATTTCCCTACCAAAAATGGGGAAGAATGACAATGAGAAGTAACTTATTCTGACCACTTTATTCTAATTCTTGGACCTTGATATGTTCTCAAGAAATGTTGTGATTTGACTTAATACTTTTATTTTTGCCTGGTTTTGTGAAGTTCAAGTGTATTAGGATTGCACCCTCCTCACAGTGTGTAGTGAAACTGTGCTGAGAAACTGAAGCTGAGAATTCACACTGGGTTTATCAGGTTTCCTGAGATGTGGTGGCCATGGCGATGTCTTTAATCTCTTAGGGCTGGTTTACCTAGTCAGAATTCCTGACTACTGTGCTGAATGTGGGGAGTTATGTTGGAGGGTAGGGAGTGTCACACCTGGACTCACTGCTGTAGTAATACATTGCTGGTTAGAACTGTGTATAAATGCTGACAATGCTTTGCATTCAAAATTGAGGGATGGAATCACATAGTTTTTACCTAGTAAAATTGTTACATAAAATGTTAGGCTTCATTAGGAATATTTAAGAGTGTTATAGTTAACTTCTTTGTTAAACAATACAGTTTTGTATTTAAAATGTTAAAGACGTAAGGATAGGGCCACCTCTAGGGAATGGAAGTGAAATAATTCCAGTTGAGGGTATAGTAATAAACCACAAGTGGGTATTTCTTAGGGTAGAGAAAAGAAAGCTGTTAGGAAACAAGATTATAGGTTAAAAGTTTTGATGGGAATGGAAAACGAGAACGTGAATCTGATTACTTTCATGTAGAAATGAGACTTGACTGAAAGTGTTTTATAAAGTAAAATGAATCCTTCATTGCCTTGCTGATGCCTTTGGCTCCTGGTATTCAGTTCAGATAGATGAATAGTGCTTAATTATCAGTATTTTCCTGTTTTATATGATAAAGCCAGTAATGTATCAGCGCACAGTGGTGCATCTTTTGTGACCAGAGCACACAGAGTAGGGGCCAGGGTGCTCAGCAGCAGGGCGTGTGCTTCCCGTGTGTACAGCCCTGGACTCTAATATGATTCCCCCATGGCAGAAAGCAGCAGGCACCAGTGGCCTCATTCGATGGAGCAGATGATGTGAGCGTGATGTGTGGGCAGAGTTCCTGCACTGCCCAGTAAGGTCCATTTGGGAGGCTTGTCCAGCAGGCGTGCCTGATCCAGCCCTGCAGGGGGCAGTGTCTTTAAGGAAGACCACACAGTGGCCTGTGGTGATGAGCACATCCTGCGCCCTCTCCTGGAAGGCGGTGAATTGCACTGTGACCTTACAAGGGTGTTGGATGTCCACCACGTAGATACCAAGTCTACAGTATTTATGCCCTCATGAAAGATGTGCTTCATGTTAAACAAAAGTTCAAGCAAACATTTTAAAAATAAAGTTCAGGTATTATAGTTAACATGATCCCAGAGCCACACGGATAGGAAGTATGCACTTCCTTGTTCAATCCCCCAGACCTGTCCTCAGCAAGAATGAGGAAGAAAACTGCAGAACAGTGTATGTCTGTGCTAGAAGGTATCATTGAGTTTTAACAATATAAAAATTCAGAACCTGCTACCATGTTGCATGCCTATAATTCCAGTACTCTGAGAGGCAGAGGCAGAAGGATCAGAATTAGAATCCAGGCTGGGCATAGTAACTTAGTGAGACCCTTTCTCAATGATAATAGTTAACAAGGGCTGAATGTGTGGCCAGTGCAGAGGTCCTGGGTGAAGTCCCCAGTATCACATACAAAGAAATCAGAGAGAAGAAGGGAGTTTCTGTATAAAGGAAGCATATTTCAAGATTCCACAGAGCCGGTTTGTGCTCATGTCAAATGTTAATTTTGGTTTTTTCATGTGAAAGTAGCTGGAGTTAACTTTTTCATATTTTAATGAAAACTTCAAGAAGTTTAAAATTTGAGAATCATCTCTTGGATTGATTTTAAAACTTACACATAAACTTTAGCACTGCCTGTGGAAACAAGAACTCTCAGATGAAGAGGAACATTTGGCTACCCTGGTTCCAGGTTTCACTTTGAGAACAGTGCATCATCTTTTTAGACAGTGAAATGTTTGATTACTTAAGCACCATTAACACTCATATACCTTGGTCTTTGTCTCCCCTTTTTTGATTTCCTGTGCTGGGGGTAGAAGTCCAGCCTCATGCATGCTGGGCAGGTGCTCTGCCCAGCCGTACCCCCATCTCCAGCTGGGCTCAGACACTTGTGTTTTATTTATTCATTTTTTCATATTTTTTAAAAATTTTATTTAAGAAAAGAAAAAGAAAAAAAAAACAGTAAAAGGGTACAAGTTATACAGAATTTCACAAAAAATAAACAGTAGGAAATCACTAGTTAATAGATTACATATTATCATCTTAGAAACAGTTGTTCAAGTTACAAAATTAAAGCATATAAAGTGGACTTTCAAACAGTGGGACTGCAAACAGTTTCGTTCAATGATCCAACAAAACTCAGTAATATGGTTATCTGTCATACACTTAAATATATATGCAATTATATTCTTTAGAGCACTTTCTTTTCCTCTCTTTTGTACAATGACAATTACGCATTTTGGGTTTTATTACTCCACAGTTCTTATTACTTTTTTTGAAGAGAGTAAAACCAAATGTGGCATAACAGAACAGAGTCAGTCAAATCAAAAGGATGGACATAATACATAATGTAAAAACAAAATACAAGGTGATCAACAATGGTTACCATACTGCCTCTTGCTATCATAAAAAGAATTGCCTATATCATCAGTTATAATGAAATTGAACAGAACAGTAAAGAATAAAACCAAAACATTGGAGACATTACAGGACTTCAAAAGAAGATAATAGTCAACCAGAATGGGCATTATAATGAATCTTACTGTCTTCACAATTGTTGCCTATACTTTCGAACTTGGTACTATCAAGCAAAACAGAATAGAGGAAAATCAGTCAAAACAAGATGGTGAAAGCAATACAGGGTTTCAAATCAAGTTAATAGGAAATCAAAGTGGGTTACTATAATATATCCTATTTTTTATTTATTTTTCCCTTACTTAAAAAGATAAAAATAAAAAAGTAAATAATAAAAAAAAGATTGAGATAAAAAAGGGCATAACAACAAAATAGCACAGGTCAAAACATAACCATTTGAGCAAAATAGTGTTTCACCACAAGATATCCTGACATAAAAATAGTTACCATAGTGTCTCTTTCCTTGAAATCTTTGAGTATAACTTCATATACTGTAGCACCAAACATATCAAGACAATGTAAAACCAAGAGAATGACAGTATTACAGCGTATTTAGAATCTACTATCAGAAAATGAACAATGGTTACTGTATAATCTCCTTGTCTATAAAAGTTTTTATTTATATTATCACATATGATAAAATCCAATAAGATACAACCTGTTAAGACCAATGGAGACAGAAGAACAAAAGCTTGATGGGACTTCAAAACAAGATGATATTAAATCAGCACTAGCTATTATGATGTCTTGTTTTCTCCAAAATGGCTGTTCCTACCATCCAACCTTCTCTGCCTCATTTCTGTTGAGCTCTTTTTCTGTCATTAGTTGTCAGTTTGTCTTCTTCATTTCGCTTTCTGCTCCATTTATTGTGGCCTCTCTGCCACTGTTTCTGTAATCTTGGTATTTTTCTTTTTTAGAATATCCTGCAGTATTCTCTGTAGAGCTGAACTGGTGGTTGCAAATTCCCCTAGTTCCTCTTTATCCTGGAAGCACCTTGTTTTTCGATCAATTTCTAGGGACAGTTGTGCAGGATATATCAATCTTGGCTGGAGGTTATTATCTTTCAAAGCTTGAATTATTTCCCCCCACGCTCTTCGTGATTTGATGGTTTGTGCCGAGAAGTCTGCTGTAATTCTGATGGGTGTTCCCTTGTAAGTGATCTGTTTCTTGTCTCTGATGGCTTTTAATATTCTGTTCTTATATTGTATTTCTGGAATTTTGATTATTATATACCTGGGTGTAGCTCTGTTTGGGTTGTAGATGGCTGGGGTCCTGTATGCCTCATACATCTGAGTGTCTTTACCTTTTACTAAATTAGGGAAATTCTCCTGGATTATTTCTGTGAATACCTTTTGTAGTCCATTTGTTTGTGTCCCTACTTCTTCTTTTATGTTCTTAATTCTTAAGTTATAGATCCTTTTATCATCTCCTAGCCTTTGTATTATTGCTGTTTGTTTTCTTGTTATTTTTAAGAAGTTTTTCATTTCATGCTCCCATATTACAAATCTGCCCTCCAGTTCAGATAATCTATCCTTAGTTTCTTTCAAGCTGTTATGCCAGTTTTTGATAGAGTTTTTAGTTTCCTGGTAATCTCTTTGAACCTGCTTCAGGTATTCTATGTTTTCTCTATTTTCTCCATCAAACAATTCTCCCCTTTTTTTCTGCTCTTCCATTCCACCATCTGTTTTTTCTTGGGTGGTGCTTAGCATTTCTGTAACTATTCTATTTATTTCTTGCTTTATTTCGTTAAATACTTCACTTTTGAACTCTTCTATGAGGCTCCGGAGATACTGTTTTATGTCTATTGGTGCCGTGTCTGATATTGCATGTTTTCTGTCCTCATTCTCCTTTGCATTTACCTTTCCTGGATCAGTGTTCTCAGGATTGGGGACTGAGGACCCTTTCTTGTTGCTCCCTCTTTCCATACTTTTTGTTCCTTCCATACAAGCGTATATAGCAGGCCCAGTTTTTTTTTTTTTTTTCTTCTTTGTCTGTTACAGTTTGTTTGAATCTGCCAGCTAGGTGTTCTCGCCCACTGCAGGGTACTAAGGAGACACAGATCTGGGCAGCCTCTGCTGGGCCTGCCCCTCCCGGTCACCTACTGGAGGCTTCACTGCTAGGGTGCACCACTAGGCGCAGGGACCTGGTTTGAGCTAGCCTACTGGGTCTTAGTCAGCATGTAACCCAGGCCAAGTACTCCACACCAATCCCGCTTGAGAGGGGATTATGTGACTGAAGTCACTGCAGCGTCCTGTTCTAGCTAGTCTGTCCAGTCCCAGAATGTCCTCTTTTGGAGCCTCCTAGTCGATGGAAGGGTCCCCGTTCCTCTCATTCACTGCAGGTCGATGCAGGGCTCTCTGCCAGTCCTGCTCTCAACTCCGTTCGCCGATTCCTGCTCTCAGACCTTTCGCAGGTCTCTCTCCCTGCTGTGCCGATTCAGATGCAGCAGTAGCAGCAGGAAATTGAAATCGTGGCTTCCAGTGCCAGGGGTTCCAGCTTCCACGCTGAGATTTTATCTGTTCCGGTTGTAGCACCGGGATTGCATTTCCAGGTGGTTTCTCTCAGCTTAGTTTGTTCCTGGGTTGGCAGGGTACATCTCCCCTTGCTTAGGACTCCTCACACCACACCATTCCTGGATTCTAAGCTGGGTATCTCAGAGAGCCTCTGTAGCTGCTGTTATCTATCCGCCATGTTCTCCTGAAGGTCCTGTGTTTTATTTTTAAGGCCTACAAAGCAGCAATGCAGACACAGTGGAGCTGGGTCCTACAACTCTGCCAGTGTGTGGAACAGCACATAAAGGAGAACACTGCGTATTTGGAGGTATGTGGGTAGAATTACAGCTTCATTAGACAGCCTTGGGCTTGCAGCTGACTTTTGGAAATCTTCATGATTTATTAGTATACATAGACATGTAGTGATATAACTGAAGTCTTCCTTGTAGGACAAAGGGTTGCATTCATATCCTGCAGGAGAGATGCAGCCTGCTGTTAAAACAGAGATCCTTTAAAGACCCGACACACTGTACAGTCTTTTTATTTACAAACATGTCTCCAATTAAGGAAGTGTTCTTCATTATGGAGAGTGAACCAAATGAGCTCTTCATTTTATTTTTTAGGAGACTTAAGATATCCTTAGAGTTCCAGCCTCCTTAAAAATTAACAGAAGCCTAAAGTAAAATAGACCTTTCATCAAGATAATACAGAGTCTAAGCTCAGTACACACCTGGAAACCTGAGAGACTCAGTCCCCACTGAGAGCCATCTAAGGTTTGGGGTGGTTGAGTTCAGAGGAAGATGAGTGTATTTTTTTATGCTTTATTTTGTTCTCAGTTGTGAGTGGCACATAGGACTTGGGCACCCTTGTGCTCTCTGCAGGCAACTAGCACACTGAAATCACATTTTATTTTTCTTAGTTTTTCAGTGATGCCAAAGAAGCTACTGATTATCTAAAAAATCTAAAAGATGCCATTCAACGGAAGTACAGCTGTGACAGATCGAGCAGCATTCATAAGCTGGAAGACCTTGTCCAGGAATCAATGGTACTGACCCAAAACCCTGTGTGTCATTGCTAACATTTACTAACAATGAATGCTTTATTGTATTTTTATATGTGTAGAACTTTGTATTTTTTTGGCATTTGACATTTTCAATTCATTCAAGTAAACATTTAAACACTAGTATTTTTGATAAATTCAAAAAAAGTGTTTTTTTTTTTTTACGTGAAAGCCTTCATGTTTTAAAATACTTTAATGGTGTTCTTTGTATGGGTGTATTTAGTTGTTCATTTCACAAATACTTGTTAAAAATATTCTTTGTCCTGGCACTGTTTTGGGATGCAGAGATGAAACTGTGAACAAAACAGACAAAAATCTCTGCCTTTGTGGTGCTTGCATGTTGGAGGGTAGCTAAACAATGCAGGTTACATGAGCAGAATGTATGTGTTATGTTCCATTTGGGAACTGCTGGAGAAGGGAAACCACCAATCCACTTGAGGGACTGAGCAAGGATGGAAACTGAGCGCAGGTAGTCAGGAGTGCTTCGCTGGTGAAGTTTCTGTGTGAGCCCTTGGAGTATGTATCTTTTACTTTTTAAAATCCATTCTCTCGGTTGCTTAGGAGGAGAAAGAAGAACTCCTGCAGTACAAGAGCACAGTGGCAAGCCTGATGGGGAGAGCAAAAACCATAATCCAGCTCAAGCCAAGGAACCCTGACTATCCACTCAAAACCTCTATCCCCATCATGGCTATCTGTGACTACAGACAAATTGAGGTACTTAAAAGTCTTGAAAATAACAGTTTCTGTCATTGTCCCTTTTTTGTTTTGGTTTTTTGAAACAAGGTCTTCCTGTATAGTTCAACTGGCCTTGAACTTAATGTGTAAACTGGTCTGGCTTTGATGTCAGAGGAATCCTCCTGCCTCAGCATCCTGAGAGTGGGGATCACAGGTGTGTGCCTCTACACCTGGCTTATTCATGTGTTTTTAAAAAGGTATCAAAATCCTCGTTTATGATAAAGTTTTTGCATCTCATAAAAACAATCTCAGGATTGAGCATTAAGAGATTAGTTAATGGTGCCCTCATTTAGTTGTTCTGTTTTTCATTTAAAACTAGATAACCATTTACAAAGATGATGAATGTGTTTTGGCAAACAACTCTCACCGTGCTAAGTGGAAGGTCATTAGTCCTACTGGGAATGAGGCTATGGTTCCCTCTGTGTGCTTCACTGTTCCTCCACCAAACAAAGAGGCAGTTGACTTCGCGAATAGGTGTGTATGCATTCAATATTAAATGTAGCTGGTTTGGAGGCTTTCTGAAGATGAAAGAAACAGCCATGCTCTCTAGGATCAAGGTTTAGCATGTTTGCAGAAACTGCCATAAAAAGACATGGTTTCTATCATGTTTCAGAATTGAGCAGCAGTATCAGAATGTCCTCGCTCTTTGGCATGAATCTCACATAAACATGAAGAGTGTAGTGTCCTGGCATAATCTCATCAATGAAATTGATGGTGTTCGAGCTAGCAACGTGGCTTCAGTAAGTATAAGTGTACACATTACTTTAGTCCTCAGGTGGAGTTGGTATTTGCTAGAGTAAGATAGAGTCCAGCAGATACATGCCTGTTCCCTAGATACAGTGTTACCTGTTAATGCCTGACATGTACAAGACACTTTCTGAGAATTAATGTCCTAGTCACTATCCTCATCCCTGGGACTAAACACCTGACACCCACAATGTAAAGAAGGAAAGGTTTATTTTGGCTCATGGTTTAAGTTCATAGTCAGCTGGTTCTATTACAAGAAGTCGGAGCTGATGGACCTGGGCAGTAGAAAGCTGCTCACATCATGGTGCCAGGAAGCAGGTGTGAGGAAAGTGCCTGGGAAGTAGACACCCCTCCAGGTTAGAACCCAGTGACCACCTCCTGTTATGAGGAGGTCTGCTGTATTCCACCCCCCCTCCCCCAATTTGGTTGCCTTCTAAAAGTCCTGTCTGTGAGCCCATGGGGTTTTTGAGGGACATTCTTGATCTAAACCATAATCTAGGGAACACAGGTTTCATTTCATGCTTTCTGAAAGATAGGGAGATAGGGCATACTATTTAGACATACAGAGTACTGGTATAGTTTGATTTCATTTATTAACTTTCATTGACTTGTTCAATTTGACTGATTCCAAAACCAGAAATTGCTAATAAAAAATGTAAGGAATTTAAATGGTTCTTTTATTTATGACTGTTAATGTAAGCTGGAATATGCCATGAGACCAACTTGAAATGGATATCATTCCTGTTTAGCCCTTAATACATTGCTCTTTGTTCCTTTCAAGATAAAGACAATGTTGCCTGGTGAGCACCAGCAAGTTCTGAGTAATCTACAGTCCCGTTTTGAAGATTTTCTGGAAGATAGCCAGGAATCTCAAGTGTTTTCAGGCTCAGACATAACACAACTGGAAAAAGAAGTTAATGTATGTAAGCAGTATTATCAAGAACTTCTTAAATCTGCAGAAAGAGGTAAAGTATAAGGATTTCTGTCTTTTATCCCCCAGTGGCTGTTTAGTGTGTTCTATTTCCAATCTCAGTGGTGATCTCAATCTTATATATATTGCACCACTCACGCTGCCTATGATAAACAGTTGCCCAGCTACTAGAAAAAGTATGATTTAGTGATAGGTATTTGGCAGGCATACAAATTCCTGGGTTTAATCCCCAGCTCTGCAAAAAAAAAAAAAAAAAAAAAAAAAAAAAAAAAATGTCTGATATAGGACAATGCAAAAAATAAAATGACTCATTAACTTCTGAATGATGAATTAACAAAAAGGTGCCAACCATGTAGTGCCAACAAATGATGAAATTTCATATACTTTCAACATTTTCAGTTTTTCATGGTAATAGAGTAGTGATCCTTCATATTTCAGAAAAGTAGATTTTCCTACATGCACAGTTTTATAAAAGCACAGCAAAGCAAAAGGTTTTGTTTAGTTAACTATTATTAAATACAATTTCTGAACTTTTGATACTGGAGATAAGTGATTTTATTAGTAATATCTACTTTATTAAGTCTTGAACATCTAACACATTCCTTACCTGCTTTTGTTCTAAATGATTTTAAGAGGAGTAAAACAGAACAGTAAAATGAAGCAAAACAAAACCATGATGGGATAGTAGGAAATCCACAGTTGTTACTATATAACATATTGTAATCCTCTAAATAGTTGCCTAGACTGCTGTTCCCAGGCCTGCACAGTCATTCAGACAACGTAAATGCCAGGTTTCTTCACTACTCCAGTTATCATCCTCTCAGCCTGGGGTGCATCTGGTTGCTTAGGGGTAGTGGGAGGGAGGTAGAGGTGACTTCCTTGCTCTTCTCCCCGGACAGCAGGTCCTCTGCTGGCACACAGGGAGGCCACCCAGCTTCCTTGCTGCTTCTGCCTGGCTGGCTCAGCCTCTGCTGGCACATTGTGGGTGGTGAGAGTATGGCTTCCTTGTTGTTTTTCCCTGGTGGCTGGTAGTGCTTTTCATTTTTAAGTATTTATAGTTTTTGTAATTCACCTGCAATATAATTTAATTTTTATGAACTTTTATGTTATCTTTTTATAGAAGAGCGTATTTATTTCTTTGGGCATCATAAATCAGAAACTGGTACTTCAAGGGCATTAGAGAAATTTTATTAACTCTTCTTAATTTTTAACAGTCATTTTAAGGTTTATTTCCTTCAGGTGAGTTTCTGATAACAGGGATTGTTCTGAACTATTAGTCTGACCAGCTGTGACTATATAATAGTAAAGCTTTTGCTAAAACAAGAACAAGGGCCCCCAAAGTAGAGAAGATATTTTCTAAATAACATATTTATCTCCACAGAGGAGCAAGAGGAATCCATTTATAATCTATACATTTCTGAAGTTAGGAACATTAGACTTCGGTTAGAGAACTGTGAAGATCGGTTGATTAGACAGATCCGAACTCCTCTGGAAAGAGATGATTTGCATGAAAGTGTGTTCAGAATCACAGAACAAGAGGTGAGAGTTATACATGTGTTAAGAAAAAACAAGTTAGTTTCTTAGTGCCCCTTAAATGTCCCCTCTTGTAATTTCTTATGTGCTCAGCTTTGCACATTGGTTATTTGGTGAGGTCAAATCAAGTATTTATTGGTAATTGTAAAGCAGGATGCTACAGTTCAGTTCCCTTTCTAGCCAGGGAAACACAGGAGCAGGTATCCTTCTTCGCATGCTTTTGACTTCACAGCCTCACACTCTGGTGTGCCAGAGTGCTAAGTTAGGTGTTTGGGTTTAAGGACACACCAACAGGTAGGAAATTGCATTGTTAATTGTAAAGCTGGAATGCCATATCTTAACCTCTTGGTTGAAGAAAAATTGAAGAATATGTAAATGTTTAAGTCAGAAGTGATAAAGTAAAATGGGTTTCTAAATTGTTTTAAGAAAAATATTCCATTTGACATGATTGTGTAATATCTATGTGTTTTTTTTTTTTTTTTTCATTCTGTGTTTTGTAGAAACTAAAGAAAGAGCTGGAACAACTTAAAGATGATTTGGGATCAATCACAAATAAGTGTGAAGAGTTCTTCAGCCAGGCAGCAGCTTCTCCGTCCATGCCCACCCTGCGATCTGAGCTCAGCACGGTGGTTCAGAACATGAACCACATCTACTCCATGTCCTCTACGTGCATAGAGAAGTGAGTGACTGCTGTATTCCTGCGTAATGTGCTTCAAACAGCCCTCATCTTTGTATGCTGTTAATTTAAAAGTTCATTTTTATGAACATAAATGTCCAATTTTATTTTGTCTTAAGAAATACATTAAATATCTATATGGCTTTTGACAATTCTCCATGTTGGAAGAAGATGTGCCTTAGAGATTTGTGTATAGCAATAGTATGATCTTCCCACATTTCATTTCATAGCTTGGCTGTGGTATCTTACAGGTTCTTCTCTCATTCTTTGCCCCAACTAGTGTAAAGACTGTCTTATGTTAGAATCTCTTTTCTTAAATACCACGTGTGAGGTAGACGTGAATTAGAGTACATGGTGTCAGTCAAAAAAAGTAAAGGCTGTAATGGTTCATGCCTGTGATCCTAGTCCTCTGGGAGGCCGAGAAGACCTCAGCCTCAGCAGCACAGCTTAGTGAGTCAGCTAACCCATGTTTTGAGGGGAAAAAAACCCCTCGGGAGTGTAGCTCATCAGTGCAGAGACCCAGGCTTAATTTTCAGTATCCGGCCTGCTCCCAGCTAGATGGCTGTCTGATAGCGAGTGTGTTTGTGGAGTGTTCTTTGATGAGTACTACACAGTGGAAATGGTGCTTTGGGAGTACATTATGCAAGAATAAACATTAACAACAGGGGTTATGATTTATTTCCCTTTTAAAGGTTGAAAACAGTCAATTTGGTATTAAAAAACACTCAAGCTGCAGAAGCCCTTGTTAAACTCTATGAAACCAAACTGTGTGAAGAAGAAGCAGTTATAGCTGACAAGAATAATATTGAGAACTTAATAAGTACTTTAAAGGTAAGCATCTTACTTGTAGATATTTTTTAATTCGTATTCCTCAAATATTTCTCCTACATTGAGTTCATCTTAAAACATAAAGCACCAGATATCCAACTTGTACTTTCAAATGTATTTGTTCCAATTCATGTGTCTGTAATTCTACAGCTTACTGTAAATATATGCATTAAGTTATTTTAGTTTGAATAATGCACTTTTCATTTGAAGTTTGGACTTTTTGTGAGCACCTTTTCATAGATAATTAGTGTTAATGGCAAGAGGAATTCAAACTAAAAATTAAGTTAATAGTAATAGAGATAGCTAATTTTAAGATACCAAGACAGTAAAAACAGTAGTTAATCTAAGAAAGTGAAAGCCTGGTAATTGTACTTGTATGTATCTGAATTTCTGCATATAAACCACCAAATAAAACTGCTGCAAAGCATTGTAAAGTTAACTCGATGATTTTTAGTGCATCTATTCATTTTAAACTGTGGGATTAGGTAAACTACTGCAGATATAGGTAAAGAAAATTGTATAGCTCTTACAAGACTAGCAATGTAATTTTATTTTGTACATTTTTAATTGAAAATATAAACAATAATTAAAAATAAAAGAAAAGTAAAGCATAATAAAAAACATACATTTGGGGATTTAGCTCAGCAGCATAAGCACCTGCCTTGCAAGCAGGAGGTCGTGAGTTCGATCCCTGGTACCGATTTAAAAAAAAAAAAAAAAGTTAAAAAAAAAATCATACATTTGGAATTCTTATTTATTATCTTTAAGACCACCTCAGATTTAAAGGCTACCTTATTGCACGTTTAAAGTATATTATAACAGTGTGGTAGTTCATAAAACACTATTTTTTGAAAAAATAAGTGAAAAAATAAACAATGGGATCAGTAACAAATAATAGAAAAAACTTTTCTATTAATGAGGTAACAAACTAGCTTATGGAATGTATTTTACTGATATGCATAGTTTATTAGGTAAGACCTTATAAAACTTGTCATTTTTTAAAACTCAAAGTGTGAAAGGGTGGTCAAATATTCTCCATTTAATAAGGTTAAAGCTAGTACAATACATGAAAAGTAGTCTTTTCTTTATCTGATTTTATGTAGTTATTGTTAAGTAAGTTGTAACATTAGGCAAATAGTGTGTTCACCGTGACTGGCTGGTAACATTTTTGTAACTCTCACCAATTGGTGTATCTTAGCAATGGCGATCTGAAGTAGATGCAAAGCGGGAGGTGTTCCATGCGCTGGAGGATGAGCTGCAGAAAGCAAAAGCCATCAGTGATGAAATGTTTAAAATGTATAAAGAACGAGACCTTGACTTTGACTGGCACAAAGAAAAAGCAGATCAGTTAGTTGAAAGATGGCAAAACGTCCACATGCAGATTGACAACAGGTCGGTATTCTTTTTGTTCAGTTTAAGCACAGATTAATGTCTGCATATACTGAAGAAAATCTAGTTTATCAGGCTTTTAGAAAGTTCCAGTATATTAATTATAGGGCTTCTACCCAGTAATATTGTTTTCTTACATAGTATATTTTAGCAAGATATTAAACTTCAAGGTGAGCATGTTTACCTCCAAGTTATTAAAACTACTGATGTATTCTGGCATTTGCATTGATAATCTATTTGCCTTTTTGTAAGAAAAAGAATATATTTCTGTAGTTATTATCAGTCAGTATTCAAGTAACTAAATCATACATCTTTTAATAGGGTTCTATATAGCAATATATATTTAGTCTAATAAATATGAATAAATTAAAGTGTTTTGATGTTCATTTTAATTGGGGATACAAGAAAGCTAAAGTTACTTGCTCGATGACTAAATTAGAAACATAGAAGTGAATGGGATGCTTTTAGGGCCCATTAGAAAAAAAATTGGTATCTTTTCTCATTTATTTTTATTTTTATATTAATATAAATTGAATGCTTTGTGATATTCTCTTCTTGAGCAGTAAAATGATTTCCATATATATTATCTTATTTCTGTGAAATACCTGACCCACAGGTCCATAGGTCCAGTGTGTTGAGTTTAAAATTGTACCAACAGGTATTGAGGTACAGCTGAACCCACACTGAGCATTCATTGAACTGTCTTCCCATTTCAAAATTGAACTGTTGTTTGATACAAGTCTTGGCTTTCGAGACATTCTGATTGGTAAAACTTATGTTGAAGTCTCTAGTTTTTCCTCATTTTGGCATTTGTGTCTCAGCCTTATCCCTAAAACAATCAGTACAATTGTGTTTCCTGAGAGCTGGAGTAAAGAATTCACACTCTGCTCTTGGCCAGCTGCCAGCGTGGTGTTCCCCTTGGACACAGAGCTCAGTGGTTACACCCACCCCATACTGTGCTGGAGAAGCAGAAGGCAGTCCTTGTCTCTCCCTTCCCTGTACCTTCTACTCCTCATGGATTCTGGGGGAAACTGTGACTGTTCCATTACTATTTTCTTAGGTTACGAGAATTAGAGAGCATTGGGAAATCCCTGAAGTACTACAGAGATACCTATCATCCTTTAGACGACTGGATCCAGCAGGTCGAAACTACTCAGAGAAAGATTCAGGAGAATCAGCCTGAAAACAGCAAGGCTTTAGCCACACAGTTGAATCAGCAGAAGGTACATCAGAAAGATCACTTGTGCTAAGGTTGTCTCTGCACTTGATCAGTCGCAAGCTTTATCTTCCTTTCCTACGTTAAAACAATAACAACTCTTTAGAGAAAAGTGGGAACGTGTAATAAATTCTAAAATCCTGCTACTCAAAACCACAAATGCCACTGGCTTTTATTGCCTTGAAGTTGTTTTTGGAAGCATTGATAATAAAGAAGAGGCATGTTGGGATATGTTTTCAAATTTCTATGGAAATCTTTTGGATATTTTGCTGGTCACAATAGTTTTGTGGGTTCCTGCACAATTGAAATGCCTTAGAAGTAAATGTTAAGCAGTTATATTGGACAGACCGTTGAATGCCTTAGGACTTCCCTTCCATTGTTAGGGGCCAGCAGTAATTTCTAATTCTGTTTTCATCAGACATGGGTGTAGCCGAGAGTGTCAAGTCTGTTGGAATAATTGCTGTGGAGTTTCATAATTTCTGCTTTACGCTGGGGATTTGGCTCAGCTGCATAAGTGCCTGCCTGGGAATCACGAGGTCATGAGTTAATCCCTGGTACCGAAAAAAATAATTTTTTTGCTTTGGAAACTTTTGAGAACGGGACCTTTACGAGTCCTACTCTGGTGGTTTACAATTTTCCTACAGTGCAAGTTGTGTAGTGAGTGCAGAGGGCTCAGGAGCTGGGCTGCTAAGGGATGTGAGTATTTCTTAGTAGCTAAGCATTTAAGTAGACTAGCGTAGAATTCCTTTTCTTCTGTCTTTTAAACTGTTACAGATGCTGGTGTCTGAAATAGAAATGAAACAGAACAAAATGGATGAATGTCAAAAATATGCTGAACAGTACTCGGCAGCAGTAAAGGTGAGAAGGTTCAAATTAGTCAAATTTAATACTCAGGTGTGTAATGCTACACTTTTAAGGACATTTCACTCTGTTCAAATGTAAAGAGAGGCTCCATATTCGCACTTATTTTATACTTAACTAATAATTCTTTGTAAAATCTGGAGTCAAGCAAAAGCCCCCCTAATGGATTTATTCTCTCTTTCCCTTCTCACCAGGTGCATAAGTACATGTGCCGCCCTAACAAAACACACAACTCAGTGAACAAACGCTCTCACACCCATCACAGCAGAAGTACATAGCTCCAAGCCTGCTTTCTTATCACTTCTCTTCTTTAACACTGACAGAAGCTCTGATTTTCTAACAAGATGTTTCTCATACTTTTTGGGTTTTTATTAATGACTCTTTAGTGTTCAGCCACAGTTCCATTCCTGACCTAAGGACAGGGAGCCTGACTGCAACTACAGTCATGTAGTAAATGCTTTCATAAGCTTCCAAAGAGACTTTACTTACATGTAAGAGACCAACTTACATGTTTCTTGTTTTATCCCAACCTTAGAAATAATTCTCAAAATGTAGTTTTAAAATATTTTCTTTATTCACGATTAATTCAGTGAAACTAGGTCCCAATTCCCTGGGCTGATTCCCTCCATAAGCTTCAGGGCATTGCTTTAATTTTATCATGCTGACCCTTCCTCAGGACTATGAATTGCAAACAATGACCTACCGGGCCATGGTCGATTCACAGCAGAAATCTCCAGTGAAGCGCCGAAGAATGCAGAGCTCGGCAGATGTCATTATTCAGGAGGTAACAAAGTGGGTGGGGCAAGGGCTGTAAAAGGAAGAAACAGCATCCTAAAAATTAATTTTATTTTTATTGTGATGAAACATGCATAAAACTTACCGTTTTAAAGTATGTACTGTAGCCAGGCATGGTAGCACACACCTGTAATACCAGCACCTGGGAGGCTGAGGCAGGAGGATCACAGCAAGTTTGAGCCAGCTGGGGATACATAGTGAGTTCAAGGCCAGCCTGGACTACTTTCAAAGACCCTGTCTCAGAAAACCAAAGAAAAAAGTGTACTTTCATGATATTCTAGTGCATCACAATGTTGTACAACCTTTACCACTGTTCACCGTTCACTGTGCACTGTTCACTGTTTACCACCAGAGTGCTTTTTAGTACTGCATAGCAATATATTTTATTGTGTGTTTTAGAAAACCATTTTACCATCAAGATGAATTCAAGATTAGTTACTATAAAGAAATACATACTTCATAATTAAATTTAATGGAAGTATTTCATACAGTGTGGACTGGCTACTCAGTCACCATAAATTGTAGGGGATTTGTGTGTTTTACTCTCCCAAAGCCTTGATAACACTGTAATTGTTACTGAAAGTTCATTCAGCTTGTTAAGAAAATTATGTTTTTGTTATTATTTTTTTTCTTGCAGTTCATGGACCTGCGTTCACGGTACACTGCTCTGGTCACACTCATGACACAATACATTAAATTTGCCAGTGATTCATTAAAAAGACTGGAAGAGGAGGAGGTAACAACTTTGGGTGGTTAAATAGAGAGCAGCTGAATACAAGGGGGGGCTGGATACAGTTTGGGGAAGCAGTGACAAGTTCTGTGATCATGTACATGACTGACACAATATGCAGGTAATTATTTCATTGTTCAGCTACGGTGAAAAAGAGTGATGGCCATGGATTTCTGTTCGTTTATTTTTAAAGATTCTCTCAAACAGAGTATTTTTAAATTTTCACTGCCTGTGGGCTGGTGATGTAGTTCAGTGGGAGAGCATTTGTCTGTCATGACAAATGCCCTGGGTTCAGTCTGCAGCATTGCAAACAGACAAACGAAAACAAATGCAGTTTTTTTACCTGAAGACTCTAGTATGATGGTGTCACTGTCAGCGGTGCTACTTAAGTTAGAAAATGTGGCAGTGCGGCAGAATGGTTTCAGCTTTGTCACAGCTGAGAATTATATTTTTCTAAAGTATTGCAATTACTGTTATGTTGTCTACAGAAATACTACACGAACACATTTATCTTATGCATTTTAAGTGAATGTATATCTTCAGGGAAATTATTATAATTTAATTATATTAAGACATCAACTTAAAGCAGTAGGAGTTTGTATAAAACATGGCTATTTTTAAGTATTGTGAGGATTAGGCCTTTATATTTTTGCCAAAAGACATGATTCATGATAAAAAAGATTAAATATTCTAATTTGGACTTATAAGCTTTGACTCTGTCTTTAAAAATTATATTCAGAAATAGATTAAGGAATTGTAAAAATAAATTGTCATACAAGGTTGTTGTTTATAATCTTGAAGGAGTTACTCCTTTCTCTATTATCTTGATAATGCTTTTTATTCCTAGAAGAACAGACAAAAATAGTAGACTAAATTCTGAAATAAGTGAATTTTAAAATCTAGGACATCAGCATTACTATTGGATTGTTGTTGAAATACTGATGGTGATTAGAGTTGATGCACTTCATTTCATACGCTGAAAGACCAGAAAAAGTACTAGGTGCCTATTAGATCTTACTTTGTTTCTGAAACTGTGAGTGTTTTTGTAAACTATTTTAGTCTGTTCTGCAGTAACATTTTCTGATGCTAAATCACTAATAGAACTAATTATAAGACTTTATAGCAACTTTCCATTAGTGATCAGGAAAGAAAACCAGAATACATGTGATGATCATCTTAATAATTACCATGCGCCTCTTCCATAGGAAAGACCATCCATAAATTTTTTTACCTTTTTAATTTTTGAGAAGTCTTATTCCATGTTAAATGATATTCTTATCTTTCAACTTGTATATATAATAATTAAACATAAAGTAAAATGTCTTGCTTTCTGATGGTACATATGTGATTATACATATATGGCCTGTTTGGTTTCATTTTTTCTGTTAAGGCTAGAAGTTGATAGAAATGATATATTTTAAAAGGCCTAAAATAAACAGAAATCATGATTATAGATCTTTGAGAGATCAAAGATCTGTAATGAATTGAAAATGAAAAACAGTATATTTATGGAGATGATGTACAAAGACTGAAATTTAAATAATTGTAAACCCCACCACTTAAGGATCATAGTAATACAATGGCCTATAAAAGATCTTTAGCCTTCAATTTTTAGACTCTAAAGAGTGGTGTTTCTGAAAGTCTCGAGGAGACAAAGGAGCAGCCTTGTTTTAGAAGCAGAGTTTTTCATAATCATAAAATCAAAGATAGGTGCCCATTAATTTAATAAATAATATTAAATTAAAGAAGTATCATAGAGTGTCTGTAAAGAATGTTAGATTTGATGAAGAAAGTCTAGTTTATGTTGAGAGCAAATTATATATTGTATCAGGAAAAATTGAGAAAAAAATTGAAGTTTTTATGTGAATAAATCTTAAGATCTCTAATAAATGAAATTAACATTTGATCTAAATTATTTTAAGTAACTTTTCTAGCATTTGCTAAAATATTTAAAGTTACCAGGCAGTCAAAGATTATTAACAAATCATGAAAACGACTCTAAGTACATATTGAGGACTCAGGCATAGATGCATTTTTTTCCTGAGGAAAACAACATGACCAAGGCAAAAAAAGTGCTCAAAGTCTCATAGCAATAACTAAGTTTTAAGGAAAGTTTGATAAAGAACTGAGAAGCACTCTCTTAGAAGTAATTAAAAAAATATTCTAAATAGGTAAAATACTTTAGTGTTCCCGAGAGTTGACCTGATCCAAAGAGCAGTGCCTTGAGCACAGCAGGTTGTGTCTTGCTTTGTCTCTGTGTGAATTCTTAGGAAAACTGCATTTGGGTTAACAAAGGAAATGACTGAAATTTTTGTCAAAATTACTGGAAGACAGTGAATTAAAGAAATGAAAATAATACACGCTCTGTAACAGAAGTGGCAAACCTATGGCATGCATGCCACAGCCTGCAGTGTATTATCATTTTAAGCTCTTAAAAGGTTTGCTATCACTGGTCTATAATGAAATTAAATTCTGGAAATTTACTAAAGCTTCTCAATGAAATCAAACCTGCTACTAAAACACTTTCTTTACTCCTGCTTAAATTGTTGCCGGCTATGGTGACTTTGAGTTGCTGATACTAAACTAACAAATACTGATAAAGTCTCTAGAACTGATCCTGGATCATGTAGTTCTGTTGGTGTGAACTTCTGCCAGCTAAGAGTATCATATCTGTAAGCTAAAAATATCTGTATCTTATGTAACAATTAGAGATGAATCCTTGAGTATATTTAAAATAAATTTATATTATCTTTGTATTTGTGAGGTATCTAGAGGTTCTTGTCCAAGTGGAGTCATAAAAGGCATGTCATTAACCACAACCTTCTCATCTGTGAGTCATGAAGCACAAATTACAACCCTTTAGGGACAAGGGCTGCCTTTGCATTAGCACTTTCAATGATTAGAATTAGTATCATGTAGTAAGTATAAACAAGAAATTTAACTTGTGAATTCTCAAGTTTTTATGTAATTTCCTCCTTCTGCCTGTTTCATATTATGTTTGAATTTGGCTCTCTGTTCTGAAGTTCTCCGTTCTGATTTTTTAACCATAAAACATCTTTTTAGGCAACCTTTGGGCTACCTGCTGAAAACTTAAGTTGTTTTACATTATTTGATTCCTGAAAGCTGTGTTTTTCTCAGTAGATAGAAGTCTTTTCATAAAAGCAGAAAGAGCACTGCTGTGAAAGTGTTGGTATCCTTTTTGTCTGTCACCCATTGTGTGAGTTTGTAAATTTTCCACTTCATCTGTAAAAGATTGTATATGTTTGTAAGGCCCTTTCTTATTTTAAAAGCATGAGTTAGATTATTATTACTATTTTTTTTTGTCTTTATTTCGGTACCGGGGCTCAAACTCACGACTGCCTGCTTGCAGGGCTGGCGCTTATGCTGCTGAGCTAAATCCCTAGCAAGTTAGATTAATTTTTAAAGTGAAATTATTCCTGATAGGCAAAATAAGAATCTTCAGAAAACCCACCATGAAGGTTTTCTGTCTTTGCCTACTGCTGATTTTCTGAATTCAGTTCTGGTGCTGGTGCTGGTGCTGGTGTTGGTGCTGGTGCTTGCTCTGTGTTGGGTTCTCTTGGCCTTGTAAATACTCAAGGATGTTGAACAGAACAAGTTTGACACTTTGAAAACATCTCTTGTAGATGAAAAGGTGTAAGAAGACTTCTGAACATGGGGCATATACAGATCTGCTTCAGCGTCAGAAAGCAACAGTGATTGAGAATAGCAAACTTACTGGAAAGATAAGTGAGTTGGAAAAAATGGTAGTTGAACTAAAGAAGCAAAAGTCTCGAGTAGAGGAAGAACTTCCAAAGGTCAAGGAGGCTGCAGAAATTGCACTGAGAAAGCAGCAGAGAAACGTAGAAGACATTGCTCTGCAGAAGATAAAGGCTGAGGGTGAAGCCCAGCAGTACCGCAAGGAGCTAGAGACCATAGTGAGGGAGAAGGAAGCCACAGAGCAGGAGCTTGAGCGGGTGAGGCAGCAGACCGTGGAGGCAGAGGCCAAAAGAATAGCCGTGGAAGAAAATCTCCTGAATATTCGGAATCAGTTAGAGCAAAACACCTTTACAAGGAGAACACTGGAAGATCATCTTAAAAGGAAAGATTCCAACCTGAGTGATTTGGAGCAACAAAAAAATAAGTTAGTGGAAGAATTAAGGAAAAAGAAAGACAGTGAGGAAGAACTCCTGAAGCTGGTAAAGCAGATGGAAAGAGATCTTGCCTTTCAAAGACAGGTGGCGGAGAGACAGCTGAGGGAAAAGCAGAGGATTGAATTGGAGGCAAGAAGGAAAATAAGTGAAGTTCAGTATCCGTATGGAGAAAATACATTGCCGGCTTGTGTAATCACACAGGCCAGGTCCTGTAGGGCAACAGAAGGTCTTCACAAAGAGTGTGACAAACAGAAAGCAGAGGAACTCAAACAGCAAGTGGATGAACTGACTGTCGCCAAAAGAAAGGCTGAGAGGGACATAAGAGAACTGAAGTATGAGCTTACTGCCCTCCAGCTGGAAAAGACTTCCTCTGAGGAGAAGGCTCATCTGCTAAAGGACAAGCTGATTGAAACAAATAATGCACTAAAGTGTCTTAAGCTGGAGCTGGAAAAGAAGGATCAGGTAGAGGAGAGGTATTCTCAGCAACTCAGAGAACTTAGCAGGCAGCTGAACCAAAGCACAGATAAAGCGGAAGAAGTCACACAAGAAGCAAATGATCTCAAAAAAATAAAGCATAACTATCAGTTAGAATTAGAATCTCTCTATCATGAGAAAGGGAAACTACAAGGAGAAGTAGACAGACTCATCAGGGCACGTGATGTTGCTGAGAAGGAGATTCAGCGGTTAAGTTCCCAAGCTCATTCTGTTCAGGATGAGAAGTTCTCTAATGAAAAGGGACAGCTCTGCCAGAGAAAATCAGATCATCTAAAGGAGCAGTTTGAGAAAAGCCATGAGCAGTTGCTTCAGAATATTAAAGCTGAGAAAGAAAATAATGATAAAATTCAGAAGCTCAGTGACGAATTGGAGAAAAGTAATGAATGTGCAGAAATGTTAAAACAAAAAGTAGATGAGCTTACTAGGCAGAATACTGAAACCAAATTGATGATGCAGAGAATTCAGGAGGAATCAAAGAATATAGTCTTAGAGAAACAAGCCATCCAGCAGAGATGCGAGGTGCTGAGAACCCAGGCCGATGGTTTTAAGGATCAGCTGCGTAACACAAATGAACACTTACATAAACAGACGAAAGCAGAACAGGATTTCCACAGAAAAATTAAAAGCCTAGAAGAAGACCTGGCCAAAAGTCAGAATTTAGTAAGTGAATTTAAGCAAAAGTGTGACCAGCAGAACATTGTCATCCAGAATACTGAGAAAGAGGTTAGAAATCTGAATGCTGAACTGAATGCTTCTAAAGAGGAAAAGCGACGTGGGGAACAGAAAGTTCAGCTACAGCAAGCTCAAGTGCAGGAGTTAAATAACAGGTTAAAAAGAATCCAAGATGAACTGCACCTTAAGACCATTGAAGAGCAGATGACTCACAGAAAGATGGTTCTGTTTCAGGAGGAGTCTGATAAATTCAAACGTTCAGCAGAGGAATTTCGGAAAAAAATGGAAAAGTTGATGGAGTCCAAGGTCATCACCGAAAATGATATATCAGGTATTCAACTTGACTTTGCATCTCTTCAACAAGAAAACTGCAGGGCTCAAGAGAATGCTAAGCTTTGTGAAACAAAGATTCAAGAACTCGAAAGACAGCTCCAACAATACCGTGAGCAAATACAAGGGCAGCATGTGGAAGCAAATCATTATCAGAAATGTCAGAAGCTGGAAGGTGAGCTGATAGCCCAGAAAAATGAAGTTGAAAAGCTGAAGCAGAAAATGGACCAGCAGATAAAGGAGCACGAACATCAGTTGGTTTTGCTGCAGCATGAAATCCAGAAAAAGAACATTGGCAAAGACTATAGCTACACACCAGACTTTGAGCTGACCATGAGGGAACATCAGCACTCTGGAGAGGTCCCTTCTAGGAATGCGGGACCCCTTCACTCACATGTAGGGGCTCCTCTACTCAGATGGCCTCAAGAGCCACAGCAGGTAGGGGAGAAATGGCAGCAGTGTCTTGGTGAACAAATACCAAAGGAAGTCCAGTTCGGGCCACCACGGGCTCCACTCGAGAGAGAGAAAAGCCAGCAGTGTTACTCTGAGTATTTTACTCAGACGAGCACTGAGTTACAGATAACTTTTGATGAGACAGACCCTATTACAAGAGTCTTAGAAATAGAGAAGATAAGGGATCAAGCCCTGCACAGCTCCAGACCACCTATTAGGTATCAAGATGACAAACATGAGATGGAATTGGTGAAGCTTCTGACCCCCTTGGAGGTATATTCTGTTCTGAGCCCATATCAGCTAACTATTGTTGACTTTCTTTAATTTCTTTGATTTTCTCTATGAAATTGTTAACTATTTTGAATGTGTTTGGCTCTCTGTACTTCAGAGAGGACTGCAGTGCTTCCCAGTGACTTACTTAAATTTTTACTATAAATTATCCTTTTATGTGTGAATGAGATGAAACACAAATCTAATGAGTATCCTATTATATTACGGAAATATATTTTGAAAACTGTGGTTCTAAAAAAAAGCTGGTAGAACCAAGCAGTTAATTTTAACTTTCAATATTTTTTGTTGGCGCAATTTCATCTCAATCATGCAATTTTAATATCTTTAATTGTATTACCATCTAAACTTCAGGCTCTTAAAATAATGTTACTTATTGTTGAAACAGCATTTGAAAAGTTTCTTTGTGTATCTTAATAATTTGAGGAATTGTTTGGATTGAAAATGAGTTAAGTGACATAAATTCTTTAGGTAATTTTTAATGTCTTTAAAATTCCTGTTGCAGATAGTTAAGAATAAGCAGTATGATATACACACAGAATTTGCATCATTAAAGCAAGAAAAGAACCCAGTTCCCAATGCTGAAGAATGGATGTCGGATGGGTGCAGAGTGTCTGATGGACTCATAAGAAATTTCGTTAAGAAAGACACAGAAGCAGAGGCGTCCCAACACACTGTGTGCTCGGTGAAGGATGAGGAGTTTAAATTCCAGGGGCTCAGGCACAGTGTGACTGCCAGGCAGTTGGTTGAAGCTAAGATTCTAGACATGAGAGCCCTTGAGCAGCTGCGACTTGGCCTGAAAACTGTTGAAGAAGTTCAGAAAAGTCTCGACAAGTTTTTGACAAAAGCCACCTCAATTGCAGGACTTTATCTAGAGTCTACAAAAGAAAAGATTTCATTTGTGTCAGCAGCCCAGAAAATCATAATAGACAAAACTATGGCACTAGCCTTTTTAGAAGCACAGGCTGCAACAGGTTTTATAATTGATCCCATTTCAGGTCAGACATACTCAGTTGAAGATGCAGTTCTTCAAGGAGTGGTTGACCCTGAATTTAGAGTTAGGCTCCTTGAGGCAGAGAAGGCGACTGTAGGTTATTCTTGTTCATCTAAGACATTTTCAGTATTCCAAGCTATGGAAAATAGAATGCTTGACAGAAAAAAAGGTAAACAGATCCTAGAGGCCCAGATTGCCAGTGGGGGTGTCATTGACCCTGTGCGAGGCATCCGTGTCCCTCCAGAAATTGCTCTGCAGCTGGGCTTGTTAAATAATGCCGTCTTGCAATTTTTGCATGAGCCATCCAGTAACTCTAGAGTTTTTCCTAATCCTAATAACAAGCAAGCTCTGTATTACTCAGAATTGTTGCAAATGTGTGTATTTGATGTCGACTGCCAGTGCTTTCTGTTGCCATTTGGGGAAAAGAACATTTCCAATCTCAGTGTAGCAAAAACTCACAAAATTTCTGTGGTTGATATTAAAACAGGAGCAGAACTGAGTGCATATGAGGCTTTCCAGAGAAACCTAATTGACAAAAACATTTATCTGGAGCTTTCAGGACAGCAGTATCAGTGGAAGGAAGCCACGTTTTTTGACTCCTGTGGGCAGCCTTCCCGTATACTGATGGACACCAAGACAGGGTTAAAGTTTAATATTAATGAAGCTATAAAGCAAGGAACAATTGACAAAGCTTTGGTCGAAAAATATCAGGAAGGCCTCATCACACTTACAGAGCTTGCTGATTCCTTGCTGAGCCGATTAGTTCCCAAGAAGGACTTGCATAGTCCTATTGCAGGCTACTGGCTGACTTCAAGTGGGGAGAAGATCTCCTTACTAAAGGCCTCCCGAAGAAATTTGGTGGATCGCATCACTGCCCTCAGATGCCTGGAGGCCCAAGTCAGTACAGGAGGGATAATTGACCCCCTAACAGGCAAGAAGCACAGGGTGGTCGAGGCTCTACGTATGGGCCTTGTGGACGAGGACTTTGCCCAGCAGCTACGACAGTGTGAGTTAGTGATCACTGGGATTGGTCATCCCGTCACCAACAAAATGATGTCGGTGGTGGAAGCCGTAAATGCCAATATCATAAGTAGGGAACTGGGAAGCCGATGCCTGGAATTTCAGTACCTGACGGGGGGCTTGATAGAGCCACAGGTTCACTCTCGGCTGTCAATAGAAGAGGCCCTCCAAATAGGTATCATAGATGTGCTCATCGCTACCAGACTCAAAGACCAAAAATCATATGTCAGAAACATCATATGCCCCCAGACCAAAAGAAAGCTGACATACAAGGAAGCCTTAGAAAAAGCTGACTTTGATTTCCACACGGGACTTAAACTGATAGAAGTGTCCGAACCTTTGATGACAGGAATTTCCAGCCTCTACTATTCTTCCTGACAGGACATGTTTAAATAACTATGAAAGGCCGACATATGCCACCTGTTCAGAGAAGATGGAACTGACTCAATGTGCAGTCCAAGAATTACATAGCTAACTCAAAGTGCTGTTTGTTTCCTGAAGGTCCAAATAATTCACTGCTCAGAAGACATAATTTTAATTGAAAATAACAAAAATATTGCTGCCCTTAAAGCAGATCCATTTAGCTTTGAGAATAGCTGTTTGAAATCTTAGCCACACTGAAATAGACATATTTGCATGATGTGATGGTACATGCTTGTAATCCCAGCACTTTGTGGTAAGAGGACAGCCACAAGTTTGAGAGCAGCCTGAACTGTATGGGGAGACTGGCTGAAATAAAATAAAACAATAAATTGTATTTTACCTACAGTGTGGAATAAAGTTGATAATGAATCTCAGCACGCTCACAGCATCAGTCCTCCAGCCCCCCCCCCCCGAGAATCCAGCCTGGGACTTGCGTCCCGTTATTAAATGATGTGTCACAAAGCACCACTGAATCAGAGGACATGATGTACATCCATTCCCTCATCCCTGAGGCTGCAGTGCTTGACACTGCTTGGGAAACATAAAAAGTTTTGGGTTTTGTGTGTAATAACTTTCTATACATATTAAAATGTTCACCATGAGTTCTCATTTCTGGTTGGGACTTCAGAGTTAAATTATGAATATACTATGTTGGAGGAGGGGAGGAGTTTTCCTTGTTCTGTGTGTTGGTCTGTGTGTAGACCCGCTCACTTTTCCCTTGCCTGTTACTTCTCTATCCACACAATCCAGATTGTAATGCTAATGCAAAGGCAGTCATCCCAGATCATCTAGTGCCTCAGGAATAAAGTTGAGTTCCTTTGTCATTCATGAAACTGCTGGAAGAGTAGACCAGTGATGAAAGAGTGTTTGTCATGGCTTTCTTTGCTACTGTAAATTTGGGAGCTACTGTAAGTTTGGGAGTAGGTTTGCTGTGTGACATTATACACATGATTAAGTAAATGAATAAAATAGCTCAATAACCTGTAGGTGATGGAAAAAACATTGTTGTATTTTTGTTTTTAGTGGTAAGCTCAATTTTAATAACTCAGTCATTTACTGGAATGTGTCTTTTCTTTTTTTAAAAAAACCAACTCACCTGTCAGAAATTACTGGAAGAAGAAAAGAAAGAGCATGTTGAAAAAGCCAAAGAATTGCAGAAATGGGTATCAAATATCACCAAGACATTAGATGGCGCAAAAGCTGGAAAGTCTCCCTTCTCTAGGCAAAAGGTATCCACAGAGGTCCTGGTTAATAATAATAGGTAGAATTTACTGAGTGGTAGAGTACCCCTAGCATAATGTCAAATTCTTTACCATAACTTTTATAGGCGGGTATTACGCCAGAGTATTAAACCAGAGGTTAGTCTATCCAAAGAAGCACTGTTAATACTGGCAGGAGGCAGTGTCCCTGGTACCAAACCCTGAGTTTATATAAGAGCTTTGCCATCAGCAGGCCTATGGGCTGTCCTGCTTTCTCCTGAGGGCCTGCCCCTGCTGATGACTGTGATGAGAATCATGAGGAGGCATCCTATCTGTGTCTCGAGCAGTGCATTTCATGAAGATACAGAGTCTCAGTCTTACAGATGGAAATAGAACATTAAATACAAAGTTAGGGATTTCACACTTTTGAGTAATAACTTCAGATGTGCTTTTCCTTATCATTTTTATTTGATAAGGAAGTATCTACAGTCAAATCAGAAATTTCAGATTCTTTCCCTTGTACACCAGGGTTCTTCAGTCCTGAGGGCTATTTTCGGTTCCCAGCTACTCGGCATTAGTTGGGTGGCAGTGGCTGAGTGTGCTGTTACTGCTGTGATGTCTTTGGACTGTAACACTGGAGCCCCTCAAGACATTGGCAGTTACAGTATAATTCTAATAGTGCTGCTGGTGGTAGTGGAAATTGCTGCTGTATTTAAAGAAAAAAATGCTCCACCAAGATAAAGCCTTCTTCCCCACCCTCTCCAAGGAATACATACTTTCATAACACTCCTGTTCCTGCCTGATACTTGGAAGTTTCAGGGCTGTCATTTAATGTGAGATGTAGGCCCTCTTCTAGCTGTGCCTCAGTGCCTTTTACCATTGGTTAAACCTGACATTGTTGACTTACTACACACAAGATACTACTTTCTCGTCTGATTTTTGTGTGTGATGTAGCTTTACTTGGCGTTCTCTTTCCGAGAAGTTTATAGATCTGGTTATATTCCTGAAATAATATTCGAATGAGCTAAAGCTGTATTCTCAGTTTTAATATGTGGTGGGGCAGAAAGGAGAAATTTGAAAGCATCTACATTTGGTGTTCTGAATTCAAAACCTTCAGAGTAAGTCAGTGCAGATACTTAATTAAAAATATCTTTGTCCTTTTTTTTCTATCAAATAGAAGACAACTAAAATAGTCACGTGCTACTTAGCAAAGATTTCTTGAAAGAACAAGTTTCTTTTGGGAAACATGGGTTAAAACCCTTGGTGGCTTCACATTCTGTAGTTTCCAATCTGCCAGAGCATTACTAACTCACATTTAGACCTGAGGCACACAAGAGTAGACAGAGACGTTTAATACACATGACCTTTATTATAACTCCACAGAACCCTTGCTGGTATTGCTGTTCAAATTTAGGCAATAAATTTGATGGCTATAAATATATCTTCCAAAATTCCCTATGACCTCATGATTACTTGTAACCATGAAGACTAGATTCTAAGTTGGCCCTAAATATAGTATACATAAGTGTACATCATTCTCAGCCCATTCTTTCCATTTAAAAGAATGGCATTTTGTGAAGCACAGATTCAGATAAGTGTCGGGTTAGGAGAAAGTGTTTCTACAGCCTCTTGCCTTTTCCCCAAAGATTAGTTTACTTCTTTGACTCAAAAGTGGTTTCATAAGTGTGAGTCTTAGCATTGTTTAATTTTGAACTGTGGACTATAGAATAATACTTTTGCCATGATTTTTTTAAAGGAGCATTGTATTTAGGACCTTGGGGAAATAAAGGTACTCTTTGGAGAAGATACACCACATTCATAGATCTTTTTGAGTACTGTGATTTTTAAGGATGCTGTTGGACTGTGGCTGAACTTCTGGCCCGGTAGAGATTAACATTTATTCATGGTTGGACTGGGAAAACAACAAGAACACACATCATGTGGAATCCCTAGTTGTTAACATGAAAATGAAGGCATTAAGGGTAGAGAGCACTGCCTGTCTTGATGCATTGGAAATAAAGCACTCTTTTTATCCAGGCCAGTACCTGCCAGTTACTAATAAGTTATTAATCTGAGTCATCAGGAAAATTGACCCATCGTTTGAGTCTTGATAAAAACTTGGTTAATTTTTTTAAAAAGAACTAGTATTGTCTTTTTGAGAGGAGAGTTGAAATGCCTTCTTTACTTTGCAGATTTCCAGTGAGGAATTATCAATCAAGAAGGAACAGTTATCTGAAGCACTTCAGACCATGCAGCTGTTTTTGGCTAAACATGGAGACAAGTATGTTGCTTTTCATCAGAATTAGAGACATGTTTTTAAAAATGGGTCAGCACAACAGAAGCTGGTAAATTATGATAGACATTATAAAAATGGAATTGTAATTGCAATTAACATAAAGCATATTAGGTTTATATACTAGTTTTTAGCCACAACTTAAAAACGTGCCTGTTACCCACATATATTACTGACAAGGAAACAGGCTCTGAGAGGTGAGAAAGTAGCTGGCGAAGGGCAGAGGGGAGAGCCCAGCCAGTATCACACCCTTGGGAGAGCCCTGTGAGAGCACCTTGCACAAAACATGTGTAAATATGTGCTTTGTTTCCTTGCTGTAGTTTTTAATACTGTATTTTGGTCCTGCTTTTTACAAGAAAACTTCCTGTATTTTAAGCAGTGACTCGGGGAAGGAACACACTTATCTTAAACTCTTTTTGAACATCCTCGTTAGGATTATTGCAGAATAGGTTAGGATTGTAGCTCAGGGAATCTGTTAATTTTCCTTGTAAGTCTGTCTTCATTTATCCTTCAGTTTAAATGAGTGTCGTCTTGAGAAATGCTACCTTAATGCCTCTAGTACAATGTCTTTTCCTTATCAGATAACAGCAATTCTTATTCTTGGATTTGTATGTTGGAGTGGTATGGATATATTAGTTCACACCGTTCCCTTCATCCCCTTTCTCAGGCAAGGGAAAGACTTCTAGATTGTGTTAGGGCCATGTTTAGTTTTCATGTGCAGTCATTCCAAGACCTGGAGCTGTATGTTAAGATCATATGATGTCATCCAACCTAACGTAATTTTTATCCTTGAAGATAAGCATTTATTATTTTTTATCCTTTATGGTTATTTTAGAATGACAGACGAAGAAAGAAATGAATTAGAAAAACAAGTGAAAACTCTTCAAGAAGGGTATAATTTATTATTTAGTGAATGTCTGAAACAACTGGAAGAATCACAAACCTCAGGAGATACAAATGTAGAGGAGAAGGTAATGTTATCTATTGAACACAAGGCTGTTCCAAGAAACTTAGGTGTTATTGTGTGACTATGGAAATATATATGTCAATAATATATTACTTTGAATTTCTTACATAGATAAAATATGGAGAGTTTATTTACATGTTTGAGATTTCAGTGTTGTTTATTAGGTACAATCTTACACTTGCTGTTTGTCAGTTTATGTGACATCTTAATCTCTGCCTTGCATGGTAAAAAAGGAATGATTCATTTCTAACTCTCCTGTTCAAAAGCTATTTTCTGCTATAGTAGGTATTTTATCATAAAATATGTTAGAGGCTGTGGGTCACTTCAAGTGGTGGCATGAATGTGTTATGGAGTTTGTTTGACTTTCAGAGATACCTATGAGAATTACTGAAGTAATGTGAGTCCATATATTGTAGTGAAGACGCCTTCATGTCTTCTTAAAATAGACATCTTTTCAAGTTTTCTTTTTAACCTAGCAGTGCATAGCAACATGCCAAACAATATTTAATATTTAAAAAGGTCACCTTATATTTAATTCCATTTCTCTTGAGAATACTTTCTGCATAATTACCACATTTGGGGAACGGATAACAATTTTCTGATACCTTTATTTTCAAATGTCTTTGAAGTAGTATGCTGTAAACATCAATAGCATGGGGTTTGGTCCTCTCTTTCATGTCACTAGATATTAATCTCACCCAAATACGGGAAGCATGACTTGCCTTTTAGGTGTGTGTTCTGTTCTTGCATTGTCATCATCCACTCTGCTGTGTCCTCACTAACCTTCTTAATGTACACGATATGAAGTTTTCAATTCACAGATGCATGTTGTTTCAAAGCTTTTATCATATCCTGTGCTGTTGAATAGATCACTGACATAGATCACTTGTGCATTTGAGCTGCCTAACATTCACAGCATTGCTGCGCCTTGGTAAGTAGAGGATTTTTATAATGAAAAGTATTCTTAAAAAATCAAAACCAAAAACTAAGTTGCATGAAATTCTGCCCACCATTGTGCACCAGACTGACCTGAGAATTCTGCATTTTTCTTTCAGCTGGATAAAGTGATTGCAGGCACCATCGATCAGACAACTGGAGAAGTCCTTTCAGTCTTTCAGGCAGTTTTAAAAGGCCTTATTGACTATGACACAGGAATCAGGTTGCTTGAGACACAACTGCTGATTTCTGGTCTAATTTCACCAGAATTAGGAAAGTGTTTTGACCTCAAAGATGCCAAAAGTCATGGCCTTATTGATGAACAAATTCTGTGCCAACTCAAAGAACTGAATAAAGCTAAGGAGATTATTTCTGTTTCATCATCTAACAAAATTCCTGTGCTAGATGCTTTGGATCAAGGCTTGATATCAGAGTCCATGGCCATTAAAGTTCTTGAGATCCTATTTTCCACCGGTTTTCTAGTTATCCCAGCCACTGGAGAACACTTGACCCTGCAGAAGGCTTTCCAGCAGAATTTGGTTTCATCGGCATTATTTTCTAAAGTCCTGGAAAGGCAAAATATGTGCAAAGATCTTATTGACCCCTTTACCTCTGAGAAGGTGTCTTTAACAGATATGGTGCAAAGAAGCATTTTACAAGAAAATACTGGGATGTGGCTTCTCCCTGTGAGACCACAGGAGGGGGGTCGGATAACATTAAAATGTGGACGAAGCATAAGCATTCTGAGAGCCGCTCACGAAGGCCTCATAGACCGTGAGACCATGTTTCGGTTGTTGGGCGCACAGCTTCTGTCTGGTGGTCTGATCGAGTGTACTTCTGGTCACAAGCTGACTGTGGAAGAAGCGTTAGCTGAGGGGGTGATTGATGGAAACACCGCCCACGGTATCCTCACGCATCAGGTCCAGACAGGTGGGATCATCTGCTCCAACCCTGCTAAACGCCTGACCATGGATGAAGCAGTCCAGTGCAACTTAATCACTTCCAGCAGTGCTCTTTTGATCCTGGAGGCTCAGCGAGGCTATGTTGGCCTCATTTGGCCCCACTCTGGTGAAATATTCCCCACATCATCCTCTTTGCAGCAAAAGTTAATTACAAATGAATTGGCCCACAAAATTCTGAATGGCAGGCAGAAAATAGCTGCTCTGTATATTCCAGAAAGTTCTCAAGTCATTGGTTTGGATGTTGCTGAGCAGATAGGAATTATAGATAACAACACAGCATTGATTTTAAAAAATATAGTACTGCCAGATAAAATGCCAGATTTAGGAGATTTAGAAGCATGTAAAAATACCAGAAGATGGCTCTCTTTTTGTAAATTCCAACCATCAACAGTTCATGATTACAGACAAGAAGAAGATAGTTTTGAAGGAGAAGAGCCAGGGGCAGCTCAAAGCTCAGAACAGACTAAGAAATTATTCTTATCTTACTTGATGGTCAATAGCTATATGGATGCAAACACAGGGCAGAGGCTTCTGCTATATGATGAAGGCTTGGAGGAGGCTATAGGTATGCTCCTGGATAGCTGCAGTGCTGAGTTTGGTGAGGATGCAGCTGTGAAAGATAGTCTGGATGTCATTGGCGTCCCTGGTCTGTTTCTTCATAGTGCTGCTAGTAAGGGAAAGACTGAATGTATGGCTTCATCAGCTAATTCTGATAAAAGTCATTGCAGAGAATCTGGACATGGAGAGACTTGTGAAGATCAAAAGGATGTCCCAATTGAAAAGCGTAATGGTAAAGTGGGAAATAATGCTATCAGTAGTGAATTTTATCAGTCAGAAAACCTGATAGTAACTGATGAGGAAGTTAACACTTCATTCAGTATGTGTATTCCCAGTCCTGTGCCCTGTGTAAAACAGACAGAACCCAAAGAGGCTAGCACACTTGGACATGACTCTGAAAACAGACTTAAAAATTGTGAAAATCAAAGTCAGCCTGAAACAAATGAGCATGCAGATGAATGTAGTCATTCTAAAAACATTCAAAACTTTGCAAATGATTTGATATCAAGGCCTGTTGTAAAATCAGAAACTGATAGGTTCTGTGATGTGACTGAAACAAAGAATGAGGATAACATAAAACAGGATTCATGCAGCTTTGATTACTCCCCTAGGCTAAGTACCTTACTACGTCATGATAGACTGAGGCATAGTCAGAAAAGTTTTAATGATGTGTGCTCCCTAGAGAATGATGGAAATCCGTGTGAAGCCTCTTCATTGTCATTAAGTGACCAAAACATGTTACCAAATCAAAGAATGGGAGAAAATTTTCAAGATCAGTTTCTCGGAATTGCAGCTATTAACATCACTTTACAGGGAGAAACCAGTGTAATGAAATCTTTAAATAGTGCCTGTAGTCCTCCTCAAATACAATCTTGCAGTGATGAATACGTTTCAGACACTTTGACTGAGAATGAAGAAATGCATACTGCTTCTCAGTGGACACCTGCAGGCAAGCAAAATGAATCTGAAACAGAAGACTTCTCCTGTGCCAACAGCACCAATACATCTTGGATCTGTGGTAGCCCTGTCCTTCAAAAAGCCATCAGTGCTTGCGACTATGAGACATCACCTCTGGATGATCAGCAGAGTGACACAGAAACAGATACCAATAGCGATAATGATTTTTATGATACTCTCTTGTTTGAAGATGATGACCATGATTCTCTGCTTCTCGAAGGTAATATCCAGGATTGTCTGCAGCCTGAGGAGTATGACACCCTACAAGAGGAAAATGAAGGAATGGTTTCTCCAGTGGATGTTTTCTATGATATTTCAAAAGGAAATGAAAGTCCTGAAGTTCCCTGGGGAGGACTAGTTGGCAACTTCAGTCTGAGAAATGAATCACAATGTCTTGAAGGTTTTCTCATAGGGACTGAGAAAGCTGAGTTAGATGCTAGTAACAGAAAACATTTAAGTTCATTTGGTTCAGAGAAGGTGAATGAATGGGCAGTGGGAACCTCATCAGAAAGGAAACACACAGATGACCTTGAAGGTGGTATGTCTGACTCACTGACTAATTATGAAATTGTAGGAAGGGAAGGGAGTTCTGGTGATTCATTAGAATTTGATGACACTGGTAGTTGGAGAAGAAAAGAGTATATAACTGGCCAGCCTGATATTAACCATTTTGATTCTATGCAAAATGAGGAAAGTTATAGGGACTATATGTGTGACAGTAGTGATCAAGATGATGATGATGACAATGGTGCTGCTAATGGTGATGCTGGAGGAGAAGCAGTGGGAAATGATAATGGAAAGTCTGAAGATAACCAGTTGTGTGTCATTGCTGTAAAGAAAAATAATGATAAAAATCAAAGTATTAAAATGCTTGTTTCAGATAAAATGCATAATTATAGTTCTCTAGAAAGACAGCAAAGTGTAAGTGTTTTACAGTTAGAATCTATTAGTAAGAGCAACTTAGTTACTGACAGAAACCATCTTCAGGAACACACAACTGGGGTTGTTCAACAAAGTGAAGAAAATATGTTGACTCATGAGACAGTACTTAGAGGTACATTGTTGCCTAACACTGAAGACAGTGAATCAGGAACAGTCTTTGGTCCTGAAGTTATTTTACATAACAGTGTTGGTTCAACTTCTGAATTAGACATTGATCTAATAAACACAAAGATAAAGATGATTCAAGGGCCTGAATCTGTCAGTCTTGAGAATGTGGCAACCAAAATCAACCCATCTTTTGACAAAGCCATTGGTGCTCAGCCTGTGGTAAAAGGGAAACCTACAGACAACCAATTGTTATTCACTGCCTCTATGACTGCCAGAGATGACCAGGGACCTGGAAGAGGCCAAGGGAAAGCTGGCACAGTCAGTGTACTAACAGAAGGTTCTGGGTCTGCCCAGAAAATGTGCTTAGGTGAAGAAGTGCTTATAGAAGATCCAGAAGAAGAAAATAAATATCTCAAACATCCACTTAATAAGAGTACAAAGGAGAGCCTCAATTTAATCAAAAGTCAGTGTCCATTTCCTCAGATCATGAACAGTGAAGATGGTGATCATAGAGGAAGCCCTGAGAAGGCAACTGGGGCTCTTAAAGAGGAACCAAAAGCTGCACAAACAGTGAGTAGTAGAAGTCCTGTTCAATTTGAGGATCTTGAAGAAATATTTCAGATGTCGGTTTCCAAGGTGATCAATGATGATGCTACTTCAGACGTTGTATTACTTGAAGGGAACGCCACCACTGTGAAAGAGTCATTCACCAGCAGACCTGGGAATGAGCGTGATCTGCTTGCTTTCCTAAAACACAATGCTAAAGGTATAAAAGCAAAAGATGTGCTGAAACCCAATGAAGACACCCCCAGCCGTGTTTTAATAGCTGATTCTCCTAGGAGAGAAGATTTACAGTTAGGAGAAAATAATGCAAAAGAGAATTTGGTTCCTACACAAGAATGCTGGCCTCTAAATAAGATACTGCAGCATAATGATGTTATTATTAAAGAAAGTGTCTCAGAAGGAGGAACAAAAATTGATCACTGCACAGCAGAAAACAGTGAAATCGTACTTCCAAGCTTGACCCTTAAAGATGTGGAAGACATTGGGGTAAAAACTGATCATATGAAATCAGAAGTGTGTGTAAATGAAATAAAGAATGATAATTCTGCCAATACTTTAGATACTGAATACTCATTCTTAAAAATTGACCATGAGAAAGAAGGAATTGAGAAACAGCCTCTAAAACAACAAAATTTGTCTCTAGAACACCAAGAAAAGGTGACACAGATTGTGGAACTATCTCAGGTGTTTGTGAGGAACATAAAGGATATCTTAAAAAACAAATTGAAAAATAATTTGAATCCTCAAGAGGTGGCTGACCCTTCCGCTTATGTAGACCCTGAAACTTCAATTATAAACTTAATTAAACAGATTAGCTCCTCACAGTTGATAAGTGAAACATCTAATGTGTCCTTCAACTCTTCAATCAGTGACGGCCCTGGAGTTCCCCCTGTGAATGACTCCGCAGAGCTCAGGACAGAGAGTAGAGATGACCTTTCCTGTATCACAGATATTAACTCTGAGCATCTCCTTGATATACTGAACCCAAATCCACATAGCCCAAGAATTACAGGAGTGTTCAATTTGATGAGAGAGTTAACTAAGCTGCAATATGATCTAGAGCAAAGAGGTATTTCATCTAAAGTACCTCTAGTGAAACTTGAAAAGGCTTTCTATAAGCTGCTTACTGACAGGTATTCAGAAAAAGGAGAACAAGTTAGAGATCTGAGTCAGAAACTGTGTACCACTCCTGAGATAGTGGATGAAAAGCCACACATTGTCAGTGATCATAAAAGCAAAGAAGGAAACCACAGTTCTCCTAATTTACAAACCATGAAAGAAAGGCAACTGGAAAGCCCTGTTGGGTGTGGATTGGAATTGCCAAGAGATAAGAGACCTGAAGACCTGTGCAGTGACTTCCTGAATCATTTGGCATGTGTTGCTGGATCAAAAGAAATGACTTATGGAGATTCCCCAGGGGAAAAAGTAAGTAGATTTATGTATTTTATATGGAAGTATTTTATACTAGTTAATGTTCCCATCACTAAGACACACTACGTGACACCCACAATTTAAAGAAAAAAAGTTTTTAGCTCACAGTTTTAGGAGATTTAGTACACAATTATAGGCTTCACACAGAAACCTCATGGCAGAAGGACATGGTCTAGCATGGTCTGCTCAGTTCACGCCAGCTGGGTGGTAGATTAGGTAATAGTGCCAGAGAGGCGAGGGACTGTATGGTTCCCTGATCACACCTCCACGAACTGATAGGGCCATGCCTTACTAACCTGCTAAAAGGATATACCAGAGCTGACAGTCACATATCTGCATGAGACAGTTGGGAATAATCCCTTATGCTTTATTGGCTTTCAAAATCTGCATAAAGGCTATTGAGTTCAAATGTTCAAATTTGTTTTTAGTTTTCCAGTGAATTGCAGCAGTGTTCACAGCACACTGAAAAAATGCATGAGTATTTAGCTTTCCTTCAAGATATGAAGCCTCCTATAGACAACCAAGAGTCTGTTGGTAACAGTCTGGAAGCTTTGAGGAATCAACTTAAACAGTTAGAGGTAAGAATTGTCTCCTGCTGTGTTAGCTTCTCATGACTAGAAGACACCTGAGAAAATCACAGGCTTATTGGGGCTCAGAGTTTCAGAGATTCCGGTTCCTAACCATTAGTCGTGGTGCTTTAGGCTTGTGATGCAGCACATCATAATGACATATGGCAGAGCAGACCACTTACTTTGCCAGGTATGGTAGCACACAGCTGCAGTCCCAGCATTTGGGAGGTTGAGGCAGGAGAATCACTGCAATTTTGAGGCCAGTCTGAGCTACAAAGTGAGTTCAAGGCTAGCCTGAACTGCATAGTGAAACCCTGTCTCAAAAAGGCAAAACAAAACAAAAAAACACTACCTTTTGCTGAGGAACCAAAAGACAGACCGAGTTAACACAGTGTGCTTTGAATGCATGTCCCTGGTAACCCAAAGCCTTATACCAAGGTCTGTCTATACTGCTTCCCTGTGGCACTGAGCTGGGGACAAATTCATGGTCTTTAGGGAACAGTCCCACTCTAAATTATGGTAGCTGGCTATTTATGGATAATACCAGTTTATATAAGGTTTGAAAAAGTGGAGCACTTCTTATGTTTCCTGTTTATATTTTTCTAGAAGTAAATATGTCTGGGACATATTTCTTTATAGATCTTTGATTTGAGACTGTCGCCAATTGCTGTGATTTTAAAAAAGGATATAAAATTGGCAGAAGATTTCTCAAAGTCTCTTCCCAGTGACTTTCCTAGAAGCTATCTTGAAGAATTGAATATGAGCCACCAGAGTTTGCAGACTGCCTTCTCTTCCCTGAGCAGTGTGTTTTCAGAAAAAATGAAACAGATCATGCTTGCCATTGACTCTGAAATGGTGGGTACAGAAATGGCAAGGTTTCTAGAAACTTTGATTATTTGAAAATTTAGTTGTAAGATATTTAAGTGTTAGGCCTTGAAACAGTATCGCTATTTGCAGGAATTTTAAATTTGGAAAACATAAAGAAATTAATGCATAATTTTATTTTCTAGTCCAAACTAGAGGTTTCCTGCGAAGAGTTTCTGCATAAACTTACGTCATTCTCCGAATGGATATCAGAAAGGAGCAGATCTGTGAAGGATACTGAGGCTCTGAAGGCTGAAGATACTGAACATGTGAAGAAAAATTTGGAGTTTCTCAAGGCAAGTGTCAAAATAAATATGACAGAGGACATTATAAAACCTATGGATTTAATACGAAAGTATTCAGAAAAAAATGTAATTTTCCTAAGACTAGAAAGAATTATTTCTTTTATCTCTATTAGATGTTTGTTCTTAGCACAGTTGTAAAATAATCATCACTTTGTGGTTGTATGTGATATTATCCTACATACCTTATCAAAATCTTACCTCAGACATGTTTAGACTTAAAGATTTCTGTATTTATGTAGTAGTCACATAAATGTGTTATTATAAATTAGTCATATAAAATTAGTCAGATAACTACATGACAGTTTATGTAGTATCTCTGAGGTAGTCAGTTTGCCATCGTTATTTTTGCAAGCACTTAATTTGAACACATTTCCCATAAACAGGAGTAGGCTTCTTGCCTCAGTCACAAAACTGAAATCCTGGTACAGTTCATTCACATAATCTTCTCCATAATCTTGTGATTACCTCAGATTAATGGATGTTGTAAGTATTAGCAAGGAGAATTTTAATGTATGGTAAATGTACCTATCTTTAAGTCTTTGCTTTTCAATTCCATTTTAAATATGATGTAGCGGACAAAATATTCTTAGGGGAGTTCTCTGTTGTATAGTTGTATGTAATAGTAACAACCATTGTATTTAAAATGTATTTAAAATGTAAATTGTATCATCTGTTCCTAGATGATAGATTTTTGTTGCATAATAATAAATAAAAGTCTTTTAACTTCCAAGGCACTGAAAAACCATATTTTAAAACATGAGTATTCTTGTTATTATAACCCTGATCAATAGCCTTACTCCCTGTTGCTAACTCGTACCACTCTGTTCACAGACTGTGTTAAAAGACCTGGGGCATACCAAAATGCAGCTGGAGATGACTGCCTTTGATGTGCAGTTCTTCATTTCTGAATATGCACAAGATCTGTCTCCCAACCAAAGCAGACAACTGCTGCGGCTCTTAAACGCAACTCAGAAGTCTTTTCTTGATGTGCAGGAATCAGTAACTATGCAGGTGGAACGTTTAGAGATGCAGTTACAGCTAGAACGAGATCTTGATGATCAGAAGGTTTGCCTTTCTTTGTGAATTGGGAACTCTTTGCTTTTACTTCTTCAAGGTGAAGTCTTACTGTGGCTGTCCATGGATTATAGCATATTAGAAACAATTGTCCGGACAGGTTTCAGTGAATAGGACATAGTACAGCATTCCTACAGTGTAGTACGTTGCTGTTTTTATAACAATGCTGTACTTCAGGCAGTTTTAATTTTTGTGACTATGTTATGCTACTTAAGTGGAATGCTTTTTTTTGTTTTTATCCTACTAATAGGAAAGAGGTATATACTGAATAATTTCCAGGAATCAATTGAGGGCAGGTGGCTCAAGAAAGTTGGGAAATCTTTGTCCTCAGAGTGTGGCTTCTGGAGCCACACCTTCTGCATTGTGCATAAGACGGGGCGAGGCACTTACCCTCCTTTTTCTCACTGGTAAAGTGGAATTAATAGCAATACTTAAGTGGTAATGTGGGCACTGATAAAAAAAAGTTATAAATACTTAATACGTTATCCAGCATGTGCTAGGCTTTTAGGAAAGATGAGCTATCTTTACTATGTCTAGAAGATGGATGATCAGTGTATACATGATAGGAAAAAGAATGATGCATGCAAACTGGTTTTGACTCAGTCTTTTAGGTTATGTAGTTAATTGTATTACAGTACTGTATCTAGTAGTAGGAATGAGAAAAGAAATGGAAATGCAGTGAGACATAGTGATCAGATAAACATTGCATGCAGTGTTTTTTATTATTTTTTGAAGCACAGGGCATTGTCTCTAGCATGATATCCTATTTATACATATCAGTTATGTTAACAGACAAGTTACGACTAACTTCTCTTTTGGTGTCCTTTTGCAGAATTCATTGTGTGTGTTGCAGGTTTCAAGAGCTTAAGAAAATGGGATGTTTCTTCCTGTTGGTCAGAAGCTCCATCTCTTACACATATGCATGGCCAGTGTTCTGCTGAGTAACTTCACCCCAGTGGTCTCGTTTCCTGTATTTGGGCCATGGTCCCACTTTCTGTCTCTGCTTGCTCAGTCTGTGCTCCACTGCTATTGTGTTTACAGCATACTTAAATGCTTATAGAGGAACTTTGGAAAAGTGTGTGCTAGTCAGGAGTCCTCACAGGTGATTTTATGACCACACATTGATGACATTTGGGTTTTCTCCACTTTAGACTGTGGCAGAACGTCAGCAGGAGTACAAAGAGAAACTCCAAGGGATATGCGATCTTCTCACCCAAACCGAAAACCGCCTCATTGGTCACCAGGAAGCCTTTGTGATTGGAGATGGCACAGCTGAGTTGAAGAAGTTCAGGACTGAGCAGGAGGTAGACTCATACTTCGTGGCAGCAGCTATCTGTCCCGCTCGGTTTGATTTCTGTTGCTTGGAGGACCATTAATACTACTGAGTGCTAGCAGCAGGTTTAGATTATGTTTTTAGAAGCAAGGCATACCTAGGAGTCCTGAGCTGTAAGCTTTACACTAAAAATTAGATTCTCAGTTTGAAGCAGGCCAAGTAATTTTCCTGGCTTTTTTAGGGTAAGTTACTGGATGGAGGAGATACAAAGGAGACTTGAACGAATTAAAATCAGAACCCACTTAAGGCCAACCTGCTCACTGTAAATCAGAACAGATAGCCATCACTTTGGGTTCTTTTTTTCTTGTTAGCGTATCCTTACTCCTTTTTATCTTTTTTGTAATTTGTTCCTTTTTATTTGAAGAAAAATGAAAATAAAAACCACAGATAGAGATACCTTCATTTTAGTGTAAAGAGGAAGCATTCTCATTATAACTGAATTTTTTTGTTCTAATTCCAGATTTTGTACATAGTTAACTTCATAACTTAATCTCTCTAAGCCTCAGTTTCCTCAGTGTTGTACTTTCATTGCTACATTATTTTAAAAGTTAAATGTATATTGTGATTAAATTATTATCACAGATAATGTCACATAGTAATAGCTCAATAAATAGGATCTGCTCAATTCAAATAACTTCTGAGAAAAATTTGAGGAGGCTTAACATACACACAAAAATATTAAAACAAACACAATATAATATAGGGAACAAGCTGGGAATATAGTTCAAAGACATAAGCACCTACCTGGTAAGTATAAGATCCTGAGGTCAATTCCCGATACCAAAATAAAGGGAGGAGGAAGTGGGGAACCGTACATACAGACATTTCTTCTGCCTAGTCAAGAAAGCTGTAAGTATGGAAAATGGATCTTAATCCTGAGCTTCCTAGAAGCAAGGGCAAAGAATCTAACATCACATATTATTATTGAGTCTGGTGTTTAGAGGAAGAAAGATCTTCATTCACTGGAGGAACTACTTTTTTTTTTTATCTTGAACGATATATATTAAAAATAAATATTTATAAACAAATAATACTATGTATTTATAGACTTTTGTAAATGTGCCTGTATTAAAAATCTGGTATATGCATATTTGCATATATTACAGACCAAAAAAAACTTCAGTGCTATCAGTGTTTCACAAAGTACACTCTGCAAACTACATTCTTTTGTTAAGCATCAAAATCTCAATCTTATCTTTAGATTTCAAATATTACATGATATTGAATAAGCTAACCAACTCAAACTGACATATTCAGTGTGCTTTTCAAATTACACGTGTTATACTTTGATTCCCCTCTTTTAGAATTATAAATTTATGAGAGCTGTGTAGTAATAATTTTATAGAGTAAATTTTTTCTTTTGTGTTATAAGGAATTACAGAAAGACATGCAAAGAAGTACACAAGCATTGGAAGAAGTAGTAAGAAACACAGAGAACTTCTTAAAAGAGAATGGTGAAAAGCTGTCACAGGACGATAAGGCTTTGATTGAAAAGAAACTTAGTGAAGCGAAAATAAAGTGTGAACAGCTTAACTTGAAGACAGAACAGTCCAAAAAAGAGCTGGATAAAGTTGTGAAGACGGCTATCAAGGAGGAAACAGAAAAGGTCCTTATTCACACATGTCGTACATTATTGTTTTGTCAGGAATGACTAATATAACAGCTGTTTGGTTTTATTAAGTTTATCAGGTGGTAATGAGTGAGAGCCTCAAAACTGGAATTCACAGATTCTAGGTATATAATTGACGAAACACTACAGGAGAATTGTCTTTCTTAGCTTATTCTTAAAATTGAGGTAGGGTTGTGAAATGTCTGAGTATTGATGAATTATAGTTGCAACTTCAAAATGTACACTGTTTTTAACTGCAAGTGAATATGTCAGAGTAACTGCTGCTTTAAGGTTTAATTTCACTGTGTTACGATTGCAAGACATGTCAGTTTTTACAGTTTAAAATGTTTCAAGTTTTACGTCTGAAATTTTAAAACTACACCTGAGTTGCATTCAAAAACATGGTGTAATATTCCTGCCCAGGTTGCAGCCGAGAAGCAGCTAGAAGAGAGCAAAACCAAGATAGAAAACCTTCTGGACTGGTTGTCAAATATCAACAATGACTCAGAGCGGGCAGGGACAGAACACAAACAGCTCATTGAGCAGAATGGGACCCACTTTGATGAAGGCGATGGCAGGCTGGAAACTGGAGAAGAGGATGATGAGAACGGCAACTTGTCAGCCGTTGATGTTAGTGAGCGCGATGGAGGCCCTGAGGACAATCTCAATCAGCAATACCAGAAGATTAAGGTGTGTTGTTTAAACATCATGATGCAGTCAGAGTCTCTTCCCACGAGAGCAAAAGACAGAAACAACTAGGCTCATACCAGGTCTTATTGATCACAGCAAAGAAAGTCCTATTTTCCTACGTTGTCATTATGTCAAGAATAATGAATTATGAGAGTTCCAAGCAAATCAAAAAAATGAGAAATCAATCACTGCGTGTAGCACTGTATGAGTAACTGAAATTGTGTTATAAGAAATCAATACATAGTAGTCATACTTAACATTTATACAGCAGAGACAGCAGGCCAATCACTCTTCAATCTTTCTGTCTTATCTCACTTAGTTTTTCTAGTTACAACTTGAGGTTATTTTCATTTTGCAGGAAAACTGTAACTTACAAAACTAAAGTAGTTTGCCCAGGTACACCTGGAGGGATGAGTTTGAGTTTAAACTTGGCCATGAGCATGGTTGTTCTGCTGTGTGTGCTTATTTTTTTAAAGAGAAAAAGCAATAAAAACTGATTCAAAATTTCAAAACAGGTATTATATAGTAGGAGAGTAACAATGGTGAATACATTGTGTATTTTTATCTTCAAAGTATTTGCTCATATTGCAAGGTATAGGAATGAAAATCGATCAAATTACATAAGCACAAATCTTATTTTTTCAGCAAGCTAATAGAAATTAATAGTGTGACTATCTTGTTTGTGTGTGTGTATATATATTCTTTTTCCTTTTCACCCATCCCAGTGTCTCTTTCATTTTGAACAATTTCTTCTCATTTCACAATATCAAAATATTCATTTTGAATCTTGCCCTTCAGCTTTTTATACTAGGGAGACAATACAGTGTTTATACATGCAAGGCTGATTTATTTTACTTATGAGTATGCCTCAGATTGCATCCATTTACCTATAAAAGTCTGAAGTTTATCCTGCTTTATACCCAAGTAGCACTCCCATTGTATAAAAATACCACATATGTTTTATTTCTCAGTTGATGGGCATTTGGGTTCTTTCCAGGATTTAGCAATTACAAATTGTGCTGCTATAAACATGGGTGCTCATATATTGCTGTGGCAAGATGTTTTTAGTTCTTCTGGAAAGATACCCAGAAGGTAAATAGCTCAATTGAATGAGACCTTCAATGCTAGTGTTTTGAGAATTCTCCACACTCATTTCCATAGTGGTTATGCTAGTCTACACTCCCACCAACAGTAGTGAAGGGTTCCATTTTCCCCACAGAACCTCTCCAGCATTTGTTACTGGTTAGCCATTCTTTCTGGGGTGAGTTAGAATCTCAGTGTTGCTTCAATTTGCATATCTCAAGTGCCAGTGATGTTGAACATTGTTTCATATATTTATTTGCTGTTTGTATTTCTTCATTTGAGAAGTTCCATATTCATCTCATTACCCATTTTGGAGTTGGGTCTTTGAATTTCTGGGGGGCGGATCTCATTTTTTTCAGTTCTTTATATGTTCTAAATAGAAGTCCTTTGTCTGAGGGACACTTGGCTAAATTTTTATCCTACTGTCAGTTTTCCATTCGCTCTGTTGGTGATTTCTTATGACACCCAGAAACTTTGTAATAAGATGAGATCTCAGTTGTTGATTCTTTGAAGTACTTCCTGAGCAGTTTGAGTTTTGTTCAAGAAGTTTCTGCCTAACCCTATGTCTTTGAAATTTATACCTACTTACTCTTCCAATAGGTTTAATGTTTTTGTTTTAATATTTAGATCTTTGATCCATTTTGACATCAGTTTAGTTAATGATGATAGACTTGGGTCTAGTTTTAGTCTTTAGCATAGGGAGAGTCAGTTTTTTCAGCACCATTTATAAAAGAGGCTTTCTTCCAGTGAACATGTTTGGCTCCTTTGTCAAAGATAAGATGGCTGAGTGTGTTTGTAGTTGTGTCTGTATCTTTTGATCTGTTCCACTGATAGGTCAGTTTTGTTTTGTTTGTTTGTTTGTTAGTCCCATGCTGATACTTATCACAGCTTTGTAGTATAATTTCAAGTCAGGGATTGTGATACTTTCTGCCTCGCCTTTGTTGCCCAGGATCGCCTTTGCTATTCCAGGTCTCTTCTGTTTCCAGATGAATTTTTGGAATGTTTTTTCTAGATCTGTGATGCTGTTGATAATTTGAATGAGATTGTATTAAATCTGTATAACAGTTTTGGGAGTGTGGTCATTTTCATAATGTTGCTTCTTTCTATCCATGAGCAAGGGATTTTTTTATATCCCCTTAGATCTCTTTTTCTGAGTGTTGTAATTTTCAATGTATAGATGATACATTTCTTCATTAGATTGATTTCTGTTTCCTTTCTTTCTTTCTTTCTTTTGTGAAGGGTGTGATTTTCTTAATTTCTGAGTTTGTTGTGTAAAAAGTGCTATTGATTTTTGAGTGCTGATTTTGTATCCAGCTGTGCTACTGAATTTGGTCATTAGTTCTAGAAGTCTTTGGAGGTTTTGGAATCTTCTACATACAGATTATCATGTCATCTGCAAATAATTATAATTTAACTTCTTCCTTACCTATCCTTATTCCTTTTATTTCTCTCTCTTGTCTCATTGCTCTGGCTAATGTTTCCAGAACTGTATTGATTAGGAGTGGTGATAGTGAACATCCTTGTCTTGTTCCTGACTTGAGAGTGAAAACTTTCAGGTTTTTTTGTTCATTTAGTATGATGTTGGCCTTTGTTTTGTCATAGATGGCTTTTATCAGATTGTCCTCAAGACCATCTATTCTGATTAGAAAATAACCTACATAATAAGTAGGGTTTTTCTCATGAATGAGTGTTGGACTTTGTCAAAAGTATACTGATTGTTGTTGACTGAATGGCTTGCTCTGCTACATTGAGCTCACATCCTTTCTGATTGTCGTTCTTCTAGACAGTTTGTTCTGGTGAGAAGAGACATAAAAATTTTTTCAAAAATTCTGTGCATGATGGAAATTAACACTATTATTAATGATAATCTCAAAAGGAGCTTTTGAAGAAACATTTTTAAAGTGTCATATAACTAATGAATTTACCTCAGGGTTTGTTTTGATTTTTGATAACTGGACTTTAGGTACCTTTTCAGTTCTGTTTTCCTCCAACTATTCCTCTTTGAATCTTTGGGATAAGATAGTCTCTGTGAAGTTTTTATAGAAAGTACAAATTAAGCCAGGAGAAGAGCAAGAGTATTTACTGTATCATGGTTTCAGAGACTGTTTCAGGACCTCATTATAATTGTCTCTAAAAGTGGAAAATTTGATGAATTCCTAAAGGAAAGAATTTGATGAGTTGCTATGAGTCAGTTATAGGGATGTCAAGAACAGTTCATAATCTGACAAAAGTGATGAAAAGTATTTAGTGGACTACACATAAAGATGTCACATGGGCCGGCTCTCCTTTCCTTCTGCAGGGTGCCACTTCCTTCTGCTCTTTGGCCCTGTAAGAATATGAGAGCCTGGCAGTGTAGGGAAGCTCTCACCTCTATGGCATGGAGCAGTGGCCAGCAGCCTGCTGTGGGCACCTGCAGGCCTTTGGCTGTGCCTGGCCCATCTAGCCCTTCTCCAGCTGTAGAAGAAAGGGGTCTGATCAGATAGGAGGTAGTTCATTAGCGATTCCAGATCTAATTAGGTGCAAAGCCCCTTTGGAGAGTAGCATCCAAATATAATTCAGATTCTGGAGACGTAGTCTGTGGGGAAGATTTGACTATGAGGGTACAAATGTTAGTATGCTGTCAAACAACTGATTAGAAGTGAGATCACCTTACAGTAGCACTTGTGAGTCCCTGAACCTTCGCAGCACACAGCTTATTTTGACTCTTACTCGTTGGTCCAGCACTGTTTTGGGTACTCAGTATTCATTCCCTGGTGAGCAGGACCAATTCCTGGTGCCAGCGCTTGTGTACAAAGTGGAGGGCCAAGGACGAACAACATAGCAGCAGAGCAAGCTGCAAGTTACATTTGCGGTCTGCAGTGCTGCTGGAAAGGCTCCAGCCTGGGTAATGGTAGTCAGGTGTAGCTTGGAGACCATTTTCAGTCTGTACATAGGATAGTGAAGGTGGGGTTCGCTGAGATGAGATTTGTGCAAGAATTTAGAGGAAGTAGCAGTTTTACCAGGTAGAGATGTGATCACAGAGCTGTCACTAGACAAAAAACGGGATCAAAAGGTCTTATGAGTCTCTCCAGGTGAGGTGGGAGCAGAGGGGAGGCCATAGGAGGTGTAAAAATAGCCCTCAAATACAGAAATCAGGACCTGTGGCTCCATGAAAGCCACCATGAAACATGTAGAGGTGTTGTCGGGACCTCTGGAGAAGGCCCTGGAGATGGAGGGACAGCGTGGGAAGAGAAGGGGATGGAAAGAATGACGACGTGTCCTGTCCATGTGCAATCTCCACAGTCACTGTGCTGCGAACGTGAACTGTAGTAGTTAAAGAATATGTACCCCTTTGCCCTGTTTGTGTGGCACATCAGAAAAGAGTATTTACGCCTAGAGGGAAAGGGGTCCCATTCCCTGAGGCCTGCCTGCTGTCCCCACACCAGGCCAGTGCTGGGTCAGTCTGCACAGCTGAACCAGTTTGCAGCCTCCCCCAGGACGGTGGGCCAGGCGCTGCGGGGTGTGTGTTCCACGTGGGGTCTCCCGTGCTCCCCAGAGTCAGCTGTTTGTGGAGGGGCCATTAAGTCCATGTTGACAAGTAGGAAATAATACTAAGTAGCAACTGCTTCACCTGCATTTGGCTTTCCTGGACATTTAATTGTTGAAATGTTTTTTCTAGTTTTAAATATATATATATTTCCTACACATTTCATGATCACTTTCTAACAAAATTATTGCAATTACTTGCTCAGTAATTAAAGATGTTAGCAGCCTCTTGAGTGACTATAAGGAGGTAATGAGCGAATGGAGCTTAGATCGGAGACACTTAGTTTAGTATTGGAACAGAAAACTGTGATTATCCAAGTACTTACGAAGGTGGTAAGAGAAGAGGGGAAATTCTCTTAAATTTAGAGACTCCAAAATGCAGCTGTCTTGTTCTGAAGTTCAGCAGAGAGGAGAGTGTCCTTTAGCTTGAGGAGGGGGTATGAGTGGCCCTGTGGGTCGCGTGTGTCTGCCGGCCCTGAGGCCATGGGAAGTCCTGGCTGCATTAAACCTGTGGTCACTTTGTCCTCACACAGGCCCAGCATGAGAAGATCATTTCTCAGCACCAGGCGGTCATCATAGCCACGCAGTCCGCACAGTCCTTGCTCGAGAAGCAGGGCCACTATCTCTCTCCTGAGGAGAAAGAAAAACTGCAGAAGAACATGAAGGAGCTGAAAGCACACTATGAAACCACACTGGCCGAGTCAGAGAAGAAAATGAAGTTAACACACACCCTGCAAGAGGAATTTGAGAAGTTCGATGCTGACTATGGCGAGTTTGAGCACTGGCTGCAGCAATCTGAGCAGGAGCTTGAGAACCTGGCAGTGGGTGTGGACAACCTCGGTGGCCTACTGAGCATGCTGAGCAGGCAGAAGAGCTTCTCAGAGGATGTTATTTCTCACAAAGGTGACTTGCGGTACATCACCATCTCTGGAAACAGGGTGTTAGAAGCTGCCAAGTTATGCAGTAAGAGAGAGGGCAGCAAGGCTCCCGAGGCTGATGTGGACACTTCCGCCACCCACAGAGAAGTCCAGAACAAGCTCAGTCATGCCACCGATCGGTTTAGGTCTCTCTACTCCAAGGTAATTTTATTTTTTCCAAGAGCAAAGTCAGTGTGTGAGTATAGTTTGCATTCTGTTGTTCTCTTTTGTTTTTGATTTAAAAGCAGGAAACCTAAAAACCTATACATCTGCTTTACTTTTGAAAAATGTGTTTAAAGGTAGGAGCTTAAAGTTACTTCCTCTGAGAGTGGTTCTAGGAAGTCTTAGCACAGTTCTGATAACCAACCAGCTTGACCACAGGCAGCAGTGACATCTGGATGTAGTGAAAGTTGGAGCAGCCTGTCCACCATGGTGGAGACTTGAAGGTCCATGGCAGATAGGCTCTCAGCAGAGACAAGACTGCCCTGTGGGTTTACTTCATCAGTACACTGCTTTCATACTCTAGTATTAACAGGCTTTCGATTCTTTTAAATATCTAAACAAGAAAGAAAATTAGGAAAATACCTAAGAACCCACACTGTGTAAACAATTTAAAAATCATCATTGATTCTGACTTCACTTTTAATATAAACTCTTTGTCCTTTTTGTGTTGATCGACCCTGTGCAAAATATGAAAATAATTTATTAAACACCTTGTAAATCTCCCCCATCTACACAGAGTATTCATAAAACTCAGGGAATCTGATGCAAGATATCTTTATTTTTATCTTTATCTTTCATTCTTGTTTAAGGCTCAGCCATTATAAATATTCTTTTGAGTTGATATAAATCTAGAACTAGATCCTCATTTTTATGATTGTTAATTCTCTCATATAAAGTAAAAATCTTAGTCCTAAACCTTTGCTTGAAATCTTTTAGTTGTGTAATTCACATATCTTATGGTAGTTTGGTACATACAGTGGGTTTTAGTCTCCATTTTAGTCTCCATTGCCTCCTTCCTTTTGTTTTTCAGTGTAACGTTTTTGGAAATAATCTGAAAGACCTGGTGGATAAATACCAACACTACGAGGATGCATCCTGCACACTTCTGTCTGCACTGCAGGCTGCAGAGTCCTTGGCCAGCAAACACTTACTGGAACCCATTGCTGTGGACCCACAGAATCTGCAGAGGCAGTTAGAAGAGACCAAGGTAAAAACAGAAAGCAGAAAACAAGAGCGAGACAGACAGACAGACAGACAGACAGAGACAGAGACAAAGAGAGAGAGGAGTGATGTAGTCCTTTATTCATCTTGCTGAAAGTCTTCAGTTTCTCGTACTTTGTGATAGTTTTATCTAAAGAAGTGAAACAAAAGATAGGAAGAACATGCTTCCTCCTGCACAGGGAGCATGACTGCATCACTACAGTTTAAGCTTTTCCTCTTTGATTATAGTTAAGCTCTGTGCGAACAGATATTTTTGTCTGTTTATTCTCTTCTATGTTCCTAGCACCTGTACTATTACCTGACCTTACGAAGTTACTCATTAAATATTTGTTCAAGAATTCACAAGTAAAAGGGAAGACAGGATGTTACTAGAATATTCGGAATTTTATTGGCCAATATTGGGGTTCTTACTGAGTGTCCTAGAAATACGAACTTCAGATATTACTAGTGCAGGTCTCAGAATGTCTGCCTGAGGACTGAGGGTATGGCTACATGCTCGCCTAACATGTTCAAGACTCCGAATTCAGTTCCCTGCACCCATGTTGTCAGAAATGCAGACTTCACATCAGAACTGCATGATTAGGGAAGTCTCAGTTATACATATAGTATATCTGTTCTATTTTTATTTAAGATATATTTTAAAATTCTTACATAATGGGAGATAGTGTTAACATATTCTATTCAAGTTCATTATGACCATGATTTTTATTTTAAGTTTCACTTCTATTTCTGCTGGGGTTTTTTGTTGTTGTTTTTCAGATTTTGTCACCACAGACAGGAAGTAAATGCAATATTGCCAGTTAAAAACTGTCTTTTAGAATTTAGTTGCCTGGTAGTTACTGAGTAAAAAGTCATCATTGTGCTTTTAACAAGGAAAATAGGTACCTTACAGGGTGAGCTTGAAGTTAGGTGTGATATGAGGCCAGGGATGTGTGGCTGGAAGAAAGTTGTCTTAGTCACTTTCCTTGTTGCAAGGACAAAATATCTGACACCACAACTGAGAAAGGGAAGGGGGTGGCTCACATTTCAGTTCGAGTCGTTGCCTGGCTCCAAGGCAGGGTGGCATGGCAGAGGAGCCTGGCAGGAGAGCTGCTCACGGTGGGGCAGACAGGAAGCAGAGCCAGGGAGGAGCCAGGCAGGGGATAGAGCCTTCCAGGCCGTGCCCTCAGTGACCCGTCTCATCAGCCAGATCCCTTCTCCTAATAGTCAGCTGAACTTTCCCATAATGCTGTCACCTTCCAGAAGCCCACCTTTGAGGACAGGCAAGGTGGGCAGCTAGATACGAAGCATAGCAAAAGCTAAGACACAGTAGTACATGTGGCAGTGAGGACCAGGTAGAAAGGGGGTGGTCAGGGGGAGGACTGCAGTCTGGGTTACTTTTCTCATTGCTGAGACAAATACCCTACACTGAAGTTAAAGGAAGAGAGGTTGGCTGTGGTTCACTGTACAGCTTTCAGTCCAGTATCAGCTGGCTCCAGGGCAAAGTAACATGGTGGAGGAAAAGCAGTTCATGGCAGGCACAAAGCAGCAAAGCAGTGAAATAGCAAAAAACAGCAAGTGACCACAGCAGCCCTCTTCTGTCCCTGGTATCTTATGCAGAAGATAAATACGCAGTTGGAGTTATTTCTGCCATTTGCATATATTTTTCTCACAGGTAGTCTCTCTAGAATAAATTTTTTTAGGTATTAGTCTCTACTTCTTTACTAACATTTAAAATTAGGGTATTTGTCTTTTAATAATATAAACGCTTAAGACTCTTACAAGAAAGTCTATCTTTTCTGTAGTTAACTTACTAACTTGTACTTATATTCTGGAGATAATTAATGTAATTTTTTTTTATCACTATTGGGGATCAAACTCACCACCGCATGCTTGCAAGGCAGGCACTTACGCTGCTGAGCTAAATCCCCAGCCCCTATACAACTTTGGGGCACTCAATTGTTTGAAACATTTCTGTCCACTAGCATGTTGTTATTAGCATTATTATTTTTAAAAACAAAAGTATTAGCTGCATTATCAGTGGTTTGATTCCACTGGGCTAGAAGGACACTCAGGATCCTCTTCGAGAAATTACTGATAAAACAAGATATCAGCCCCTTGTAAAGGAGGTAGAGACAGGATTTGGGGACCACTTTGAGGTCTTGTTTTGGAAGATCTGGGGGCCAGATAGTGTTGCTGGTGATGTCGACCTGTGTGGCTCCCCCATCACTGGGATTAAACATCTCAGAGGTTTTCGCAGATAGGTACAGCCAGAGAAGCCTCAAAAGTTGAACAGAGTGCTCACAAGAGGGAGGAGCCCAGTTGGCAGCTTGTGGTGTTCCCTGTCATGGATGTTTCCTCAGTGCTTTAATTTAACTGAAATCTACTCAAAATGATATGGGTGTGGATTCCAATGATTTAATTTTGTTTCTTTGCAAAGTAATACTATAAACATCATTTCCATTAAATTATAACCTGATACATGTTAGGAATAAAGGCTATTAACTCTTTTCTATAGTAATGGAGAGCAAAGGCATAGAGTATTTTGAGGAGAAAATTGCAAAAGAGATACTTGTTTTGTAATCCTTGCTGAGTTTTGAGATAATAGGCAGGGCTATTTAGTATTAGATGTTTTTATAGAACTATGATAACTCCTACATATATTTAATCATTCAGTAAACATTTTCTGGGGCCATTTTAAGTTTTGTGAAGACACAGATTTTAAAACCCTGTCTTTGTCCTTGGAGAACTCACATGAAAAATAGCACATATGGGTGTCCTTAACTTCGTTTCATCTTTTTTTTTTTTATCATAGTATCTCTTGTTTTCCTCAAATTAGCTGTCATAGCTTCACACATAATTTCCCACAAATTTCTTTTTGTTTAAGGGTAGAAATAATACACAATTTCAAAAACAAATAGTAAGAAATCAATAGTTGGTAATCACATATTGTCCTCTTACAAACAGTTGTTCAAATTACAAAAGTGAAGCATACAAAGTGGACATTCAGACAGGGAGACTGCAAACAGTCCTGTTCAACTATCGAACAAAACTTAGTAGTATATATGGTTATCAATCCTACACACTTAAACATACATGCAGTTACATGCTTTAGAGCACTTTCTTTTCCTCTCTTTTGTACAATAGCAATTACGTATTTTAGGTTTTATTACTCCTACATTTCTTATTACTTTTTACATTAGGGATACAATGTGATATTTATAAATATGATTCTTGTTTATTTCACTAAGGAGGATAGCCTCAAGTTATCTCCATTTGCCTATGAAGGCCTCAAGATCATCCTTTTTATAGCTGAGTAATATTCCGTTGTATTAAAAATACCACATCTTTTTTCATCCACTCTGCGGTTGATGGGTTGGTTTTTTCCAAGAACCTATTAGCTATTACAAATTGTGCTGCTATGAACATGGGTGCACATATATCACTGTGCTATGACCTTTTCATTTTTTCTGGGAAAATACTGAGGAGGAGAATAGCTGGGTTGAATGGGACTTCCAATCCTAGTCTTCTGAGAATTCTCCATCCTGATTTCCATAGTGGTTGCACCAATCTATACCACATCAACAGTGGAACAGTGTTCCTTTTTCCCCGCAGCCTCACCAACATTTGTTATCAGTTGATTTCTTGATGGCAGCCATTCTGTCTGGAGTGAGATAAAATCTCAACGCTGTTTTAATTTTCACTTCTCGAATGACCAGTGATAGTGAACATTTCTTCATGTATTTATTTGCCATTTGTATATCTTCATCTTAGAACTGTGTGTTCCTCTCAACTGCCAATTTTTGGAGAAGGTTTTTCAGTTTGGGAGTCTTTGATGTTTTTCAATTCTTTGTAAGTTCTAGATATAAGTCCTTTGTCTGAGGAGTTGCTGGCTATAATTCTTTCCCATTCTGTGGGTTTTATTTTCACTCTATTGGTGATTTCTTTTGAAGTGCAAAAACTTTTCAATAATATAAGATCCCAGTTGTTGATTCTTTGAAGAGTTTCTCATGCAGTTTGCGTTTTGCTCATGAATTCTCTTCCTACGCTTATATCTCCAAGACATCTACCTACCTCGTCTTCCAGCAGATTTAGTGTTTCTGTTTTAATATTTAGGTCTTTGATCCATTTAGACTTTAGTTTTGTGCATGGTGATAGACACGGGTCTAGTTTCAGTATTCGGCATGTGGAAAGCCAATTTTTCCAACACCATTTATTAAAGAGGCTGTCCTTCCAGTGAACATGTTTAGCCCCTTTGTCAAATATCAGGTGGCTGAGTGTCTTTGTAGTTGCCCTTGCATCTTCTAATCTGTTCCATTGATCCTCAGGACTATTTCTTGGCCAGTAACATGCTGATTTTAACACTGTGATCTTCTAGTATAGTTTCAAGTCAGGAACTGAGATGCCTCCTGCCTTGCTTTTGTTGCCCAGAATTGCCTTTGCTATTCTAGGTTTCTTCTGTTTCCACATGAATTTTAGGAGTGTTTTCTCTAGATCCGTGAGGTATGTTAATGGTTTTTTGATTGGGATTACATTAAATCTGTATAACAATTTTGGGAATATGGCCATTTTCATAATGTTGTTTCTTCCTAGCCGAGAGCATGAAATATCTTTCCATTTTCTAATATCCTCTTCAATCTCCTTTTTTAAGCATAGCATAATTTTCAGCATATAGATCTTTTACATTCTTAGGTTGATCCCTAAGTATTTCATTCTTTTAGATGCTGTTGTGAAGGACGATATTTCCATAATTTCTCCTTGGTGAGTTTTTTGTTTGTGTACAGGAATGCTATTGATTTTTGAGCAATGACTTTGTTTTTTTTTAAATTTTATTTAACGAGAGAAAAGAAAAAAAACAGAAAAAGGGTACAAGTAATACAGAATTTCAAAAAAATAAACAGTAGGAAATCACTAGTTACTGGATTACATATTGTCATCTTAGAAATAGTTGTTCAAGTTACAAAATTAAAGCATACAAAGTGGACATTCAAACAGTGAGACTGCAAA